CCTCTAGTTTGTCAAAAACTTACCTAATTTTAAAAACTGTATATATGTAGAGCATGCTCTTGTGTATCGATCAATTCAGAAATATAAACCCCGCATGCAGGTGATGAAGGTATATTGCTTGCAATAGTTGCGTAAGGGAAGTTGACGATTGAAAAGTTAAAGCCATCTCGTTTGTCATTAAGCTTAGTTGTTAGATTACCATTAACGTCTTTTTTGCAGTAAAGTTTCTAAGAAACAGTTGTGTCAGACTATTAATTTGGTATATTTTATTTCAAGCTCACCAGGATATAGCGTTTCGATATAAGAATGTTAATAACCATTGTTATTTGACAATTAATCGTTAATGGACAATGAAACATCATTTTCATGTTTAGATATTTACGGAGTATAGACGATTAGGGTCAACTTACAATGTATGTCAAACGAGATGACTTCAGCTTTTCAATCGTCAACATTCCTTATACATTAATTGTGTAGTAATCATCTGCTTGTGTTGTTCATGTCTCAACTTATTTGCTATATTCAAGAGCTTTGAATTGCTCTAAGTATGAACAATTTTTACAGCGAGGTATGCTACTCACTGCATTGTGGCAACGCACTTTGAAAAAAATACGCACTTTGAAATTTTTTTTCAAAGTGCGTTAAAATTGGGACAAAGTCAACGCACTTTGAAGAAAATTTTCAAAGTGCGTTAAATTTGGGACCAACTCAACGCACTTTGAAAAATTTTTTCAAAGTGCGTTAAGAGTCTACATCAATATATTTTACCATGGAGACACTTAATGTACTTTGAAAAAAAAATAAATCATACATGTATTTTAGTAATTGAAAGATTTTATTTGTTATTTATCTTTAAAAAAAAAAACCCTAACCCTAACCCCCAAAAGAATTGATTTACTCCCATCGAAAAGAGGAGAAGACGGGTATAAGATCCCTCAATCCAAATCTTTATCTTTCCAATACATAGGTGTCGGTAACAAACGGGGGAGGGGAGCAAAAAACCCAAAAAGGATAAGGTGCATTTTCAATGCTTATACGATGTATAATCTTTCTAAAATAAGTGGGGGCTTAGCCCCCCTCCTCTGGCCCTTCGCCCGGTCTCGATGTCTATGCTATACCTAAAACATTTATATATGTATTTACATAACTGGTATAACGTTGAAAACTTTCAATATTAAATGATTAATTAAAACAGATGAAAACTAGAAATTTTTAAGTACAATTAAACGTATGAGAGAGAAAGAATTTTCATAGTTTTGAACAATCAAATTGCCCCCTTTTTATTATGATAAATGCTAAGTTGCTTAAAGCTGTCCACTGTTAGTGCCCCCTTTACACCTTTACATCTACTTATCAAAGACTAGAATTAATAAAAAAAAGAAAAAAGAAACGAATGAATGATCTTAAACAATCGTCACTCTTTTTTTCAAGACCCTTTTTCCCTTTTATTTTATCAAAACCTCAAATATTTAAAACGTCAATATCTCAGGTCCTGAAGTGACTTTATCATACCGATTATTTGTAGGAATATGATCAATCTTTACATTTTTTTTTTCAAAGTGCGTTAATATGGTCGATATTAGCGCACTTTGAAAAAAAAAATAATTTTTTCAAAGTGCGTTAGCTTGGTCCCAAATTTAACGCACTTTGTAAAATTTTTTCAAAGTGCGTAATTTTTCAAAGTGCGTTGTAACACTGCATGATAATTTAACGTTACAGGGATTTAATTTAACAAACTCGTTTAAATTATTTTTCATTCTATGATTCGTCCTATTTCTCATTGAATTACATATTCACCAAATAGATTCGCATTAATGTCGTTTTATATGCATGTTTATTACAAATAAAGTTATAAGAATTCGGCTTACCGGAAATTTTAAAAGTAAAATGCAAGGGCTTTTAAAATTATCTTTAAAATACTAACATACCTGCTGAGTTATTCACACTGTAATCTATCATCAGATATGATTCTATTGTCCGTGCGCTCTTAATTAGGTATACGCTACTAACTATTCATGCAGTTTATTACATACCAAAAATTACATTCTGTTATCTATAAAACCTTGTCAAAAACAATCATTTAGGTCTAGAATGTCAATGAAACATATGGAGATAACGTACAGTATTCAAGCTCAAAAGTCCATAAACAATACAAAATAGGAGCAACGCAAACACGGACCTCCAAAACATCAGATCGAGGTGGGATCAGGTGCCATGGAGGAGTGAGCATTGCTCCTTGTCATGATCGGGAAATATAACGGAAAAATCCGTTGTCAATCCAGTGTATAACAATTAGTATGGAAAAACGTCAGTCAGCATTTTACTTATGATAAGTTGTATTTGCTGACAAGGTCATTGTATTGACCATAGAGCTGATGACTTTAAACGAGACTGCTGTGTGGCAACGCACTTTGAAAAAAAGATATGTATGAAAATAAAAATTCTAGACTTAGATTTTAGTAATAGAGGAAATCAAATTGTAATAATTATATCTTTCGAAAAACTTTTTAAAATTTACATGAACTCATTTAACCTCATTGAGAACAAGGAGAAGACGAGTAGAAGGTCTCTTATCCCAACTTTTTTTTTTCTTAAACATTGTACATAGCCGTCGGTAGCAAATTGAAAGTTGACCCCACAGGTAAGTCCCAATTTTTAATGCATACATGTATATATTATGTATATCTTTGCAAAATATTTATATGCCTACATGTAACCCCCCTTTCCGGTACTGATGTCTATGCTACACCCAAATATATGTGTTTACATAACGGGTATAACGTTGAAAACTTTCAATAAATTTAAGTTTACATAAAATGCATGCAAACTTGAAAAAAAATAAGTACAGTAAAGCATTTAAGCGAGAAAGAATTTTCAAAGTATGGAAAAATCAAAATCGCTCACTTTCACATCCTGAAGTGACATCTTCACAGAAGAATTATCAAACAGGTTCAATTATTTATCATACCTAAGATTTGCAGGAATATTGACAAATCCATACACAGTTTTTCAAAGTGCGTTAATATGGTCCATATTAACGCAGTTTGAAAAGAAATTTTATTTTTTCAAAGTGCGTTGACTTGGTCCCAAAATTTAACGCACTTTGAAAAAAATTTTCAAAGTGCGTAATTTTTCAAAGTGAGTTGTAACACTGCTGATATTCTTATTTCATCAATTTGTCAATAATTTACCTCCCTAGAAATCGAACATAAATAGAGCATGTTCTCGCGTATCGAATCAACTGAGATATAAACTCCGTATGCAGGTGATGAATGTATATTGCTGCATAAGTAAGGCAAGTTGGCGATTAAAAAGTTAGTCATATCACGTTTATCATAGAGCTTGGTTGTTAGATTACCATTAACGCCTTTTTTAAGAAAAAATATCAAAAAAAAAAAAAAGAAAAGAAAAAAAAGAAACAGTATTTTTTTTATGTTTGCCTGAAAGAAGATTCAAGATAAATTTAATTCAGAGCTCCCTCGATCTTTCTTTTTTTTTTTTTTTTTTTTTTTTTTTTTTTGATGAAGACAGTTCAGTTTAACATCAGACTAAAATGGAATTTTTAGACAATATGATTTATTTTACTATTAGCTAAAAATTTATAACAGAAACAAATGCCAGTGGATGCATCAATCTCTACATACTTGGAGTACACATATAATTTGTAATGCACTTAAGTTTAAAATTTTGATATTTTGTTGTACTCAAAACTACGCAAGAGCTTTTCGACACTTTCATGGACGTCTAGATGTATCACAGACTTAAGAAAGTACAATGTAAATGATCATGGGGGAAGTTTAAAAAGGAAATCTTTCTATTGAAGGGCGTTGAGAAATTCCAATAGCAGATATGCATGCGAAATGTTTGAAAGGGAAACGTAATAGCACACTAAAGATCTATTGTGATTTTGTGTTTGGAAGAAGTCTGGTACCTGTCAGGTTGCTAATGCCGTTGGAGACAAGTTTTGGTGATCGATACCGGAGATCATTTATACTGAACATATCGTGTGAATCAGAAATTAATTTTTGGTCTCTTTTATGTAATTTATACAATTAACAAAATTTATGTCGAGAAAACCTAAGATGAAAGCTTGAAGAATACAATGTACTCATTAATATATTTTTTTAAAGTACAAAGAAAGAAAGAAATGCAAGATATACTCCCTTTTAAAAGTTCTTCGAAGCTTGCTTATTTAACCAATCATTTTTTAATTGCAAGATTTAGAACATTTTCATGTAGAGATCGACGAGTAGATGGAAAAATGTTAAAAAGATAAGTGTTACCTGTCACAATGTAATAGCAATCAAGTTGGAGATTAATTTCACAACTTATTGGAATCCAATGTAATAAGTAATATTCAGTAAACAATTAACAAAATATTACGTACATCCAATGCTGATAACAAATACCCATCCTGTATTCCTTGTAGAAAATTGTGTATTTTTATCACTCGAATTTATGAGTGGTATGCGCTGTCTTTCTATAATTATTGTAAATAGGCCTACCTATAATTAAAACATTCCTTGTACCATCATATACTGATTTTTTATTTCATAATAATAATTATTATTTTAATTATTTTTGAGGGGGGGGGATAAATGAATGAATGATAAGAGAGATAACTCTAGAATGTGCACATACGAGAGGACAAAAATGATCATTTCACAAAATCTGCATATGATTTGTGTGATATGTGTTGAGTCATGTCAGTGTCTTATTTCGCAAAAAATCCTAGAATTTATCAAATTTATAAATTTATCAAATATTTTAACTTTTCTCTATCATTACTGAATATATTTTTTCGCTGAAAGATTTTTTTCTGCAGAACAGTGATTTCTTGTGATTTTATACCTTTCAATATTTAGAACTCTGCCCGGAATACTTAGTTCAAAAACTGAATGGCATTTTGCAACCCGTGTTCGCCATTCTGGCCTCCGTTTTGTACTAATATTATTCCGGATATATCTTAGAAAGGCTTGAATTTTATACCGCTTTTGACATTTTCCGGTCATAAGATGTTCGTTATTAACATAAAATAAACATAAACGGCATCACAGGCATTGAAAGCAGGTATGTATTTTTATAGAAGAAGATATTGATCCTAGGTTAAACATCTCTCTATTTTAATGCGTGTTATATACGTTTTGATATGAGTGTTTTGAAATATTGATTGAAATTAAGATGCCGTGTCAAAGACATATTGCGCATCTGTTTTGCAGAAATTGAGAATTAGTTAAGCCATTTACTAATTCATCAAATGGATCGAGACAGAGCGAAATCTACCATGGCTACAACAGCTGCCATGGGATGCCTGAAGACTCTTTTGATGATTTTCAACTTTATATTTTGGGTAACTATAAAATAATAAATAATGCAGTGAAAACAAATATACAGGGACTATTGTCTATAAAGAATTGTGTGAAATTGTATTCCTGCATTTGCATTATTATATTTTTCTTTTACCTATTGTCTGTCATTTGTTTTCTTATTTTGACTGCATACCAACATGGTGATGTCAATAAAATGATTTGAATAAATTATGCTGGATGCAAAAAATCACATTTATTTTTAGCTCACCTCGACGAAGTCGAGATGAGCTTATGCTATACCCCCGGCGTCAGTGTCCTGGTTAAAGTTTTAGGAGCAGGTCCATTCCCAAGTAACTATAAGCCTTACTCGGGCCAAACTTGCATAAATGATGCATCTAGAGATGGACACTACCAGATTTGCTTCGGATGCTAGATCTGACCTACATTTTCCAGATGAGTGACCAGGTTAAAGTTTTTGGAGCAGGTCTATTCCCAAGTAACTATAAGCATCCAAACTTGCATGGATGATGCATGTAGGGATGGACACTACCAAACTTGCTTCGGATGCTGGATCTGACCTACATTTTCCAGATGAGTGACCAGGTTAAAGTTTTGGAGCAGGTCCATTCCCAAGTGACTATAAGCCCTACCTGGACCATACTTGTATGGATGTTCCATCTAGGGATGGACACTACCAGACTTGCTTCGGATGCTGGATCTGACCTACATTTTCCAGATGAATGACCAGGTGAAAGTTTTTGGAGCAGGTCCATTCCCAAGTAACTATAAGCCCTACCCGGATCAAACTTGCATGGCTGATGCATCTAGGGATGGACACTACCAGACTTGCTTCGGATGCTGGATCTGACCTACATTTTCCAGATGAGTGACCAGGTTAAAATTTTTGGAGCTGGTCGATTCCCAAGTAACTACATGTATTAGCCCTACCCAGACCAAAGTTGCATGGCTGATGCATCTAGGGATGGACACTACCAGACTTGCTTCGGATGCTGGATCTGACTTACATTTTCCAGATTAGTGACTAGATTATTCCCAAGTAACTATAAGCCCTACCTAGACCAAACTTGCATGGATGATGCATCTAAGGATGAACAGTCAAAACTTGCTTCAGATGCTGGATCTGACCTACATTTTCCAAACGAATGACCAGGTTAAAGTTTTTGGAACAGATCAATCCCCAATGAACTTTAAGACCTATTTAAATAGAACTTGCTTAAATATTGTTGTCAGAATATATACTAACTGTTAAGAAAATATGATTTGAGATTTGCATTACTTAGACTGATTACATTCTTCGAGGTGAGCTTCGTAATCTTTGATTACCTATGTTTTAATTAGCAAGTACTGTGTAATAAATGGAAGCTTTCTTTTGGCAAACAAAAAAGTGTAGATCTTTGAATTTTTATAAATCAAAATAGATTATTTGGAACTTCTTTTTTGTTGTTGTTGAAAGTTAATATAGTTATTGTAAAACCACTATAGACATAGAGTAAATCACAACATCCAAAAAAGATCAATTAATACAATATGTTTACATGTATATTAATACTTTCATGTAAGGTGACTGGAATTGCCATCCTGGCTCTGGGAATATGGACCAAAGTTGACCTGTACAAGTACATGGAATTTTCTACCATCTACTACAAGGATTCTCCCTGGATTCTGATTGCTGTGGGTGCTTTAATAGTGATTGTGGGTTCCTTCGGATGCTGCTGTACAGCCAAAGGAAATGCTGTGTTGTTATATATGGTAACATTTCTTTCCCTAAAGAGTTACATGAAACACAAGTATTTTAGAATACTAAGATTATTTACTTATTGCCTTTGTTGCCTTTGGTGTGTAGGGAAGAGAGAAGGCTCGCCATATTTCTCCGTCACTGTCTAGCTTCTGGAATCTTCCATAACTTCTCTTGGAATAAACATGTAATATTGTCTTCATATAATTAAGACATTTTTGAAGGGGGAAAAAGATTTTAAAAAACACATGTAAAGTTCGAAACCTCTTGTGACGCACGCTAGATTTACGTACTTATCTGTTCTTATTTTGAGGTGTTCTTCTTTAGCAGTAAAACTAAACTTTGATTGAACTCTGTTGAAAATGCCCATGTAAAATTATATCTATCAAATTGTAAAGAACTGTATTGATTTCAGTATGGCTTTTTCCTCGTGCTGGTGTTTGCTGTAGAACTTGGAGCAGGTGCAGCAGGATTTTTCTACAAAGGAAAGGTAGGGAGGATGTTATGTCATTATGTTGAAAGCATTGTCCTATCAGAATATCCAAGTAGAATCTGAAAAATGAGATTGTTTCACAGATTTACTGTAAGATAGGAATTGTATCTTTTGTCATGTGTTTTTTGGAAATTTCTCCGAGGTGGAAAAAAATTGACTTTATAGGGCATTTATAAACTTTAAAAGTTACTTCTCTGATTCTGATTTTTTTTTTTAAAACTAAGCTGGAACAAGGATTTAAAGAGGGACTGGATAATGCACTTAAACAGTATGGCAATAGTAGCAAAGCAATGGATGAGTTGCAGTCCCAGGTAATTTTTTGTCCTGATATGTGTATACTCTTGTAGTAAGGGTTTAAGATGTACTTGCATGACCTAAGCTTTAAAAAGAAGTTACAAGGGATAAAAACTTTTTTTGTATATTCCAACTCATTTAATGATAAAGTAAAATTTGTATTTTTTTTTTCATTATGAATTTGGAGGAATATGTAATCATTTTATAGAGAGCTTAATTCAATATCATCTGTTTAGGTCAGTGAAAGAAATTATCATAAAAACTCAATTTTATTATATAATTCATTGATAATAAATCACCTTGCTTTTCCATTTTTTCAGATGGAAGTAGGTTTTACATATTTTGCTTGATAGTATTAGTGTGATTAACGTAACAGCATTTAAAATTCTGTACTTTGCCTGACAGCTGCACTGCTGTGGGAGTGAGAGTTACCAGGACTGGTTCATCACCCCGTGGGAGAAGACAGTCAACTCCAGTAGAGCCGTGCCCCACTCCTGCTGTAAAGACGCTGTGTGTAACAATCTGGATGTCAGTGTAAACGCCACAGATATCTACACAGTGGTGAGCAATCTATCTAAATTCTTCATTTTAGTATGACTATCAGTAAACCATTGAAAAGACAATCTCTGGGGGGAAAGCATATTTACTTGGACATATTGGTACATTAATATATTTTTCCATGGAGTTTAAGCATTCTAATTGCATACCCCTTCTCATTTTGTGACTGGTCAGAGTAATACTCATGCCAAATGATGAACAAGCATTGATTATCCAACCATATTCAAGAATAAAGATATGGTTGCCATGCATATGGATGGATTAAAAAAATTATCACATGTATTGAATTATTATCAAGTCTTAATGATAGTCCTTATAAAAAGTCTAAGTGCATATCATCGCATAAACTTAAAAACAGGAAATTGGCTCAGCATCGCAAAATCATATTTATGTGACAAATTGTCCAGTTAAAGTGTAAAATACACATTACATTTAAAACCATGTTGATTAGTCACATGACATGATAATGCTATCCTGAGTTTGTGAATTCCTGTGCCATCCATTATTTGTTGCCTCTTATTTCAGGGATGCTACAACACGGTCGTGGACTTCATGAAATCAAATATGGCAGTCATAGCTGGGGTGGCGTTCGGTATTTCTTTCTTCCAGGTATGTTGGAAACATTTTTTCTGACTTTCAGATTAGAATATTGCTTCAAAAACTTTTGCTTTTGAGTGCTGATGCTTTATTCTGTCCACAAAGAAAAAAAAAGTTAAATTAAAAAAAAAGGAAGTCCCACATGCATACTTTTTTATGACCCCTGGGCAGTGATCTGTTGACATGTGTACTGGAGGATTAGCTCAATGCTCAATCTGTAGCACATTAAGTATACTATTCTTAGGTTAAAAATTAAAAATGATAGTACTGTACATATTGAACAATTACAAGTAAATTAATGTGACTTTTTTTCAGCTACTTGGGGCATTACTAGCATGCTGTTTGGCAAAGCGGGTCAGAAAATCCAAATATGAACAAATGGCTTAGTGGATTTTCATAGTCCGCTGTCATCAAGGAACTGAGTGAAGATCAATTTATTATCTTATTTCATGAATGAACATCTAGTGCTTAAGTTTGTTTTCAAGCTAAAGAAGGTGTAAGATTTGTTTATTATAGTAACAGTAAATATTTGATTATGGTAAAATACCGGTAATTTTTTTGATATATGTATTAAATGCATTCCTTATTGTATCAGAATTTTATTGATGTTAAATTTCTTTTAGACTGTATATCTTTACATGTGCACCTGTTCTGTGTAACACAGTATTTTTCAAGCTTGTGTGTTTTGCTGCACCCCCATTTTACATTAATATTCAATGTACAAACACGTTACATTTTTAAAAGACCTGATCAAAGCATGCAGTTGACAGCTACCATGTTTTGGGCATTATTGACTCATCTATAGGGAGAAGGGGTGTCTTTGGGACTGATAAATAAATCAGTGTTAATATTAATTGGAACGACTCCAAATATAGTTCTCCTTATAATATTTTTACAGATTTGTATATCAAGTGAGGAAATATCATTCTATTTGACATATTTATCTCTACAAATCCCTCCAGATTTATTTATTTTATTATTACGCAATATTCATGCACATTGATCCTTTTGTCATATGGCAACATGTGACAAACTTTACTTATAGGGTATTATTAAAGAAATACTAATGTTTAAAGTGGTGATTTTATGTTTTATGATAGTTATATATTTTTATCAAATTTATTTTTAAGCTTAACATAAGCAATTTTTTTTGTTCCTTAATGCCAGTATGTACATATTTCTTATCAAGGGCATACAGGAGTTTCATCCAATGATAACTCTGTAACATTAATAACAATATTTATTAAACAAATTCTGTGTTTATGGATTTCATAGAAAAATTTTAGTTCAGGGTCGCATTTGAAGGTCATCTGGCCACCTCAACATAAATAGAAATTCCATTGTTTGTAATATTGAAGGAAGATGAAGATCATGATGGTTACAGCTGGAAACAAGGACAAAATGAATTTTAATTTCATGTTTAAAATAATTTTTCAATTTTATTTAGTTATACATGTATTATTATACATATTGTTAATCATGCATGTATAGAACATTTATAATCTCCGTTTAATTATCATTATGGCATAGGGTTTACTATTTTATGTATACATGTATCTCAGTATTTATCTACAGTTAATCTCTAGTCCTTGTAATCCCCACCGTACTGAAGTATTGACATTTTTAAATATTTTCTAAAGTTTTGCTCAAGTATGACATAAAAGAAAGTGCATTTTTTTCTTATTATAGTGCTGTATTTTGTTTTTATTCTTTTATTTTAGAAAAAGAAGATCTGATAACTAAAAATAGTTTTAGTGTTATAGTAATTGAGTAAGTATTCTGTAGGAAGTACCAAGTACTGTTTATTATCGCTTTTCAAATTTTATAATGTTAAGCTCTTGCTTTGTTATTTGTGATTATACATTGTTGTTACAGTGTTACGCAATGTCTTCTTGTTATTCTGCAAATAAATATAATCTCTTTCAGTGTGATGCATTCTTAACACAAACTACAATGAAAAAGTCATTTTAGTGATCCATGTTTACTAGATGTTCCCAATTTTGTCATCTTCAATAACCCACGGATGATCGATTCTCTATCGTCGCATCGTCGGTAACCCACGGATGATTCACATCGATTCTCTATCGTCGCATCATCGGTAACCCACGGATGATTCACATCGATCCTCTAGATAATGATGTATCCAGCAACAGTATTGGCAATATTCTAAGTCAGTTAATCTAAAGATTGAGGTGATCAAGCTATCCTTAACGAGTAGATCCTTATACCACAAGAGAAGATCAAAATACTGTAAGAGACCATTAATTATGGAACATTAATAAGGGGAAAGTTAAAAAAAAAACGATACATTATACGGTGCCACATTGTCTTAGATCAACAGTTTTTGAATTGTTTGTTTTTGTCAAGACGATTTCCACCTTAGTTTGGACTTTCACTAAGGCGTGGCATTCTCGGCGCTACTCAGTACGTAATTATCGTCTGTCAGATGGCGAATAGATTCTCATTGGTTAAGAAATTGATAACATCAGAAACTCTAAATTTTTGTTGACAACGATGAGAGACTTAACCTCCACCTCTTTGACGGACGAGACAAAGTTATTGGTTATTCGATACAGTAATTATACCCGCACTTTCTAAAGAAAGTTCGGGTATATTGTTGTTACTCATGTCCGTCCGTCCGTCCGTCCGTCCGTCCGTCCGTCCGTCTGTCACACTTTTCTTCCCTGAACTCCTCTTACATTTTACACAGTAGCCTAATCATCTTTGGGGAGATGGTTTGTGGTGTCATGTAGATGTGCAGTAAGGTTTCGGAATTTTGATTTTGCCCCGGGGGGTCAAATGGGGGTCGAAAAATGACGTTTTTTATGCAAAAAGCCCCGTCTTCCCTGAACTCCTCTTACATTTTATAGAGTAGCCTAATCATTTTTGGGGAGATGGTTGGTGGTGTCATGTAGATGTGCAGTAAGGTTTCGGAATTTTGATTTTGCCCCGGGGGGTCAAATGGGGGTCGAAAAATGACGTTTTTAATGCAAAAAGCCCCGTCTTCCCTGAACTCCTCTTACATTTTACAGAGTAGCCTAATCATCTTTGGGGAGATGGTTGATGGTGTCATGTAGATGTGCAGTAAGGTTTCGGAATTTTGATTTTGCCCCAGGGGGTCAAATGGGGGTCGAAAAATGACGTTTTTTATGCAAAAATCCCCGTCTTCCCTGAACTCCTCTTACATTTTACACAGTAGCCTAATCATCTTTGGAGAGATGGTTGATGGTGTCATGTAGATGTGCATTAAGGTTTCGGAATTTCGATTTTGCCCCAGGGGGTCAAATGGGGGTCGAAAAATGACATTTTTTATGCAAAAAGCCCCGTACCCTGAACTCCTCTTACATTTTACACAGCAGCTTAATCATCTTTGGGGAGATGGTTGGTGGTGTCATGTAGATGTGCAGTAAGGTTACGGAGTTTTGATTTTGCCCCAGGGGGTCAAATGGGGGTCGAAAAATGACGTTTTTTATGCAAAAAGCCCCGTCTTCCCTGAACTCCCCTTACATTTTACAGAGTAGCTTAATCATCTTTGGGGAGATGGTTTGTGGTGTCATGTAGATGTGCAGTAAGGATTCGGAATTTTGATTTTGCCCCGGGGGGGTCAAATGGGGGTCGAAAAATGACGTTTTTTATGCAAAAAGCCCCCTCTTCCCTGAACTCCTCTTACATTTTACACAGTAGCCTAATCATCTTTGGGGAGATGGTTGGTGGTGTCATGTAGATGTGCAGTAAGGTTTCGGAATTTTGATTTTGCCCCAGGGGGTCAAATGGGGGTCGAAAAATGATGTTTTTTATGCAAAAAGCCCCGTCTTCCCTGAACTCCTTCTACATTTTACACAGTAGCCTAATCATCTTTGGGGAGATGGTTGGTGGTGTCATGTAGATGTGCAATAAGGTTTCGGAATGTTGATTTTGCCCCAGGGGATCAAAGGGGGGTCGAAGAATGACGGTTTTTTTTGCAGAAAGCCCCGTCTTCCCTGAACTCCCCTTACATTTTACACAGTAGTCTAATCATCTTTGAGGAGATGGTTGGTGGTGTCATGTAGATGTGCAGTAAGGTTTTGGAATGTTTAATGTCTAATTGTGGCCTGACCTAGCCTTTGAGGTTATGATTTGAAAAACTAGAAATATGTCTATAGGACATGAATGTCCCACTGGATGTATATTACTCATGCTACAGGAAAATTTGTATTAGCGTATTAAGTTTGTTGAAAATATCTTGAACAGTTTCTTTAGAATTGAAACTAAAATCTAAATAAATTTGATATAGATTATAAATCCTCACCAAATTATGTATTATAAGTGCATGCTAAACATAAAAATGTCTTAAATTATTTCTTTAAAACTAAGCGAAATACAAATTAAAAAGGATGGAGGTCAAGGTCAGAGGAATGTGCAAGGTTAAGTTTTTGATGAAGTTATCAGCATATTATGTTTGATAAAAATATCTTGAATGATTTAATGAAACTGACCTCAACACTTTTTCTAAGAAAAGAGGGGTCAAAGGAAAGGTTAGGGCCAAAATGTTAATTGTTGCAGTTGAAAAGCTTACATCAGTATGAATTTACTATTAGCATATGTAGTTTGATAAAACTATAATTAATGGTTTATTTAAAACTTAGATAAACACATATTTTAAAAAGTGAGGTCAAGGTCAAAGGAAAATTCAAGGTCAAAATAAGTTGATGTATTAATAGCTCTCAGCAGTATGTATCAGCATATGAAGTTTGATAAATATATTTTGAATTGTTTACTCAAAACTGATTTAGACATTAATTTTAGAAAAGTGAAGTCAAGGTCACAGGAAAGGTCAAGGTAAAAAAGAGTGAAGTATTGTAAAGCTTACATAAGTATGTATTATCATGTAAAGTTTCATTACACAACTTGAATGGTTTCTTTAAAATAAAGCTAAACAGTAATTTAAGGTCACGCTAGGGGGTCAACAAATTATTTTTTTTATTAACCACCGGTTATAACTTAAATTTGGGGATATGATATCTTAAGCCATCAACTATCATTTGGCAAAAAAAAAAATTCATAAATTTTTGTTTTAAAATTTGATCATTTTATCATTTTTATTATATCTTTATATGGAGCTCTTCTTCTAAAGGAGATCAAAATAGTCTAAAAATGGCTGCAACCACCCAGCCTCTTTAAAGAAAAGTTACGTGAAGGTCAAAGGAAAAGTCAAAGTCAAAAAATATTGCTGCAGTTGGATATTTACATCAGTATGCATCAACATATGAACTTTGATAAAAATATCTAGAAAGTTTCTTTGAGCCCAATGGAAAGACAGATGGAAGGGTGGAGGACGGACATGACAAAAACTATACATGTATTCCTAATCATGGTGTGGCATAAAAAACTTGAATCTACATTATATGAGGATGTTTCCATCTATCAAGATTATACATTAGCAAATTCAAAGAATTGTGGTCCTCTGCTTTCTGTGATTTAGTGAATGGGATGCCATAATTTATGGCATATTATGTCATTGAATATGCACCCATATCATATATCAATTTTTGAAAATTAGGTCAAAGGGGTAAAATCATAGCATGTTCTGAAACATTTTGTTGCAGGTAATGTACATGTCAAATATAAAAGTCATATCTCTTTTGAATCAAAATTTATATATACAATATAATATTTTTGAAAAGTAGGTTAAACTTCTAGGTCAAGGTCACAGAGTCAAAAGTAATGTTATATTTAGAAAAGTCTTTTCACATGTAATAAACATGTATAATTTGAATGCCCTTTCTTTTCTCTTTCAAATTGATCAATTTAAAATGTTATTTTTTGGAAAGTAGGTAAAACTTTAAGGTCAAGGTCTCACTTGGGTTAAAAAATCATAGTATATTTAGAAAGTTTTGTGGTAATGTACATGTGAAATAGGAAAGCAGTATCTCTTATTATTCAAAAGTTATTACCAAGGTTAAATTTATTGTGACAGATGCACATACTAGCTGTCAATAAAATGGACAAACTGACAGACAAATGAGATTTAACGTCCCCTCCCTTTCCCCAAAATGGGGGACAATAATGCCCTTGCTGTTCTTGAGAAGAAGATTTATGATGGAAAAAATCCCCTGCATATTTCTTAACGCAAATCAATATTGTGTTTTTATGTCATTTTGTTTGTTATTAAACATCCCTCTCAGGAATTTTTCACTCATATGGAGACACCACCACTTGAAAAATAATGAGGACAAGTTAGATTTGAGGTCAACATTCATTTTAGGAGTTTTCAACCAATAGACATAAAGAAATATTAACTCGATCCTTCCCCTCACCCCTTCCCAGACCCCTGTTTGTTTATGTATGCAAACTACTACTTGTATTACATTAAAAAAAATTATACAAATAGTTTAATGTGGTCCATCTCTGAATGATTTTCATTCCTATTCTAGGCCGCCGCCAGAAGATAAGTTGACACAAATTCATGAATAAAATGTCAAGTAATCTTATCATTGATGCACTTTTATTTAATTTAATGCAGTCATATTGTGAACATTTCCAGCTCATTAGGAGTGGGAATGACCTCCAGGGGTTCATAACCTTTATACCATTTAATTTACATAACATAATAACACAAGAAACAAAATTATGGAGAGTCAAATGGAAAAACTTTCCAACTGTTTAGGAGTCACATAATCATTTGTCATTACAGGGACAGGGAGTGGATTGGCTGATCGCCATCTCAACCTCCCCCTCCCCCCCCCCCTTGGAATTTGCAGGACTATAATATATACTGGAGGAAATAAAAATGACTTTGTATGCCCTAAGTGTCCCTCCACCTTAGAAAACAGACCCAAACATAACTTCTTTTTTTTTTTTAGCTTCTCAGGAAATTCTGGTCTGGAAACCCCCCTCCCTCCCAGTCCCAGAAAAAAAAATCTGGATCTTGTAACTGAATGTAACGTTGATAACGGGGGATAACTCTTCAGAATGTCAAAGCATCGGATGACCTTTGATCCTTTAAACTTGAACCTAGAACCGTTTGCATTTCAGACTATTTTACCCAAATCTATACCAAAATTTTGTACTTACCGATTGTCATTATTTAGGTCCTGTAATCTTCATGAAATATAATCCAATTAAAACACAAAATGAAATAATTCCTATATGCAATGATGTGTATACCACATTAGTAGCCTACTGCACGTGCAGTGAAATCTAAAAATGATAATGCCAATGGTAAAACTAGTACTTAAGTTGGGTACGTGACGGAAGCCCAATGTGATGCAGGTGTTCAAATACATGTATAGTGCAAGAACAAATTGAAAATTATAATTTACGAAAGATGTTTTATCTTAACTTTCCATCTAGGCCTATTTCCAAAAACAGGCAAATTAGGTGTGTTTGTGTGTGTGTGTGTTGATGGGAGAGGGGTGGGGGTTGACTAAATTGATTGTGTATATATGGCAGATTTCAAGAAGTTTAGAACTGCCTTGTCAAATATAAATAAACTTTGCACATTTTGAAAAATTCATCAAAAACTCTTTACACTAATTTGAATAATATTATTTGTTGATTTACAGATATGAGAAAATAGATTTAAAAAGTTCCAATTATGTGCCAAAAATTTATAACCCCCCCCCCCCTTTATCAAACCTTATTTACATCATTAATTTAATTCTGTTGTTTAATTCAGACTGGTAATGAATTAAGGATATGAAATACTTATTAGATGGAGGCCCATGGGTCACATGGTCACCTGAGCATATTATGCTCAATTTGATAAAACATGTAATATGTAAATTATTTAAACAATAAAATGCTTTCTTTGTTTGTTGTTACTGGAATGAACGGAAGCAGCTGTTGCAGAAAAAATACATAACCCGCGTAAGCGGGTTATGTAAATTTTTTCTGCAGTAGCTGCGACCGTTCATTCCAGTAATAACAAACAAAGAAAGACATTTTATTGTTTATATCTGTTTAAATTATTTGAAGTAGGATTAAAAATATTAATTATTGTGTTAATGATGCGAGCATCTTTGTACGTTTCATATATGAAACGGCCACTGATGAAGAATTCTGTACAGGTGATATGCCTAATGTAGTTCATGCAGTGATGAATGCAATGGGTTTTCTTAAGGAATAAAGATGAAAATATTTAGTGAATGTAAATATTGAATTATATTGACTTTTTCCCTGGTAAAGCCCAATATGAAGAAGTGTGCATTTAGAGGCAAACACCTTAGTGCGGGTATTACTGTCTCATGACAGCATCTAGTTGGCATTTGCCCGAATTTCTATCCCATGTACAGTATATTTCAACAGTGAAGGAAAGCTGTGTAAATTTCAGAAGCTAATTATGTAACGCCGAGAATGCCACGCCTTACTGAAAGTGCAAACTAAGGTGGAAATCGTCCTAATTAAGTGTTCCTTTCGAGATTTCACTCATATTGAGACGACATCACTTGCCGATAGAGGGCAAATTTAGATCAGCTCCTGCACTAAGGGTCTTTGAGCTGTGAGAGATCGTGTACAGTGTCTACTGAGACACGGAAACTCGGTTTCATCCGATGAACCGGTCTCTACGTAATTCTGTGGATTCGAACCTGCAACTTAGGGATTTACTCCTTACATTGACAATGTATTCTCAAGGGCGAATTAACGGTATTTTGCCCCAAGTTTCAGATGGTGGACAGGGTCATAGTCATACAGCGTACCACTGTTCTTAAAAAGAAATTCAGTGATATCTGATATCAAGTATTTGCCATGAGTACCTGGCTGTTCGTGTTGATTGATTTTTTTTGTTGTTTACATTTTCACTCATTTTGAGACGCAACGACTGGCCGAAGGGGTCTGCGAATTCTAGACCTATACTCGACATTCAGGCCCATTGAGTAGTGGGGAATATTTTTCATGCCAGCATCATACTTCGACACGGATGGACCAGTCTCCACGTCCCGCGGTGGAGATAGGACTACGTGTTTCTCCATCAGATCATTAAGTCGACAAGAGATTGGATGGCGCAATAATGCGATGACGATGAAGCGATATATAAAGCGATGACGATTCTGCGATGGTGCGACATGATGCGATGACGATGGTGCGATAGCACGATGGAGCGATAGTGAAAATCGCATTATCATCATCATGGCGTCATCACTTCATCGTCATCGCATTATCTCGTCAGCGAGCTATAATGGGATAGTGAAATGATTTTTTAAAAAATTTGAACATATTTTACAATGTAATAAATATCATAGATTGCAGTTAAGCGTGATGTTTCACGTTACGTCACGATCTAGTTTGACAGATGCACCCACCGTAAACAATTCACGCACCCACTGTGTGATTGGTCAACTCATATTATCAACATTGACACGAAATAGTCTGCTGCATGAGCATCCAATCAGGGATTGGAAGAAACTTCCAGTCGTAAAGCTTGCGGTTAGGAGGCGTGTACTATTTACCTTGAGCGCAGCTGTCATCATAGGTTGTGACGTTATGCAAATTTTCACACTTAACTGGAATTGATAATACATAAATGGACTGGGCAACAGGCATAGCCTATATATATATATAAACCCTGCCCACTGAACTACACGGCCCCAAAGGGACCAGCAACTGTAATCAAATATTAATAATACATTACCGTCCCTGTGCCAATAAAAGAGAACTTTTAGTCTTTCCGATCCTCTATCGTCGTTCTTGCCTTTTCTTTACTTTTCGGGGTTAGTTAGATTGTTTCAAAGAATTTCAGAGAAAAGTAAAACAACATTATTATAGTAAGCAGAATATCATCGTCTCAAGCCACGGTCCGGAGTCCACATAAAGCTCTCTCCTCCAGAATGATAGAGTATCGTACATTTTGGCCGTGGTTTGCGACGATGGCAGAATATATGACTCAGCGTTTTTTTAACTCGATCGGTATCAAGATACTGCTAGCAGGCTACAGAAATAAATGATTAAGAAATATTAAGATTTTGTATCAAGTGCAACAAATCTTTATTTTATGATATTGTTTAATACTTCAACGTATTTTGATATATGCACATTTAATTTCATGACAGTTTTTTCAAGAATGAAATTTAACCCTAAATTTGGAAATTTTTAAAAGGGGGCTCCCTTCCTCCCAAAACCGTCAACCCAGGTAGTAAATTAATTCAAAAGTCTGAATCTACATGTAGTTTGAAGACTAAATTGCAATTAAACAGTATATTTATTATGAACACAGACTGATTTATTTTTATCAAACTTGGCATTGTTATTTTGAATACTTAGTGTCTATAAATAATTAAAGGAATGTGGGTTTATTCAGGCTGAACAGCTTTTGAACATGTTGAATAGACTTGAAATTAATTAATACGGGTCGCTAGTCGCGTTCCAGGTGACTGACCAGAAGACAAGAGGTCAGCAGAAGGAAAACAACACAGGACATGGATAGTGCATACAAAGAGGTAGGTATAAACTGCTGTATAATTTCTTAAGTTCGGCGAGAAAGCCTTGATCTTTGTCTCAGCTACCTATACACGTTATATCACAGTGACACATCTGTTTCTATTGCATTGCGATACTTATATCCATCAGCTGTGTAGATCAGTAGATATATATTGTCGAAAAGCAAACGGTTGTTTTCTATATACATATATATTTCTCTACTGCTCTGCTACTGCTCTGGATTTCTTCTTGGTGTTATATATGAATTGGCTAAGGCTACCTGTACCCAGTTTTGGCTGAACTATATACACGTATACGTAATTATATATATTTATACATACATAACATCAATTCTGGGCGTTACCATTTGACCCAATCTTACTTTACAGTATTTCAAAATATCTAAATTATTCTTTATTCTTGTTCGGTTTTCACCTTATTCAAAACTTCTTTTGCTATTTTTACAATTTACATTTCTGAAATGTCGCCCGCGTTGCACAAAGGTTATGGGAAGCGGAAAGGGCAAAAATTACCATAATGAGAAAACAAACAATTATTATAATTTCAACGAACATAAAAACATAACAAATGACATATAATGCATTATCAACAGAACTTTTTTCAAAACAAATATACATTTAAGCAAAAACAACGACAACGTACGTAACAAACATATATGAATGCAAAACAAACGATCATTTTTGCAGAACAAACACACATAAAAACACGACAAACGAAAAAAAAATCTTAAAGTATCAAACTTTGCGCGTGTGATGCACATATTAACTAAATATTCTTCAGTTAAAGCATCTGAATCAGCCATAATCCTCGTTGCACGTATACTGAAATATATGGAGATAACGAACAGTATTCAAGATGAAAAGTCCATTAAACAATACAAAATAGGAGCAGAGCAAACATGGATCTCCAAAATATCAAGGATAGGATCAGGAGCCATGGAGGAGTGAGCATCCCCTGCCCACCGGTCAGTTATTATTTTGTTAGATTGTTTAATTTGATAAAACTGATTTTTCTTTTTCAAAAAAACTTTGCGTCAACAACAATTGAATTGATTCCGAATTTTTGAGGTTTATATATTTTAAGTACACCTGTATCTTCTGACATATTCTCTTGTTTTGAAGTCTTAAAGTCCAATATTCATCGTTGCAACAACTTAATGAAATAGTCATGTTATCTTGATCTTGAATACTGTTCGTTATCTCCATAGGTTACTTCTTAAATACAGTAGGTTTTGGACCTTCAGAAAAAGAGACGCTTCTGTCACCCCTTCAATAAAACTGACACTTAATAGTCAAATGATACATTTACTCCACGTGTACTTTGTCAACGAAATCGGAAATATACAATATATCCACTGACCTAAATCTCTGGAAGTGGCTGATTGATCCCTTATCAATACATTACAACTCTATGACAAAAATGCTGACTAAATTTTGCTTAGTCTCTGAACTTTAAACGATAAAAGGATTTATTTATCTCTAGTTACTTTATTCAAACGCTGCAACAAAAGGACTGACTGACTGACTAAATTTTGCCCCAGATATTTCGTCCAGTAAAGAGTACACGATGTACCTACAAATCAATGGCTATAAATCGTCTAACAGTTTTATCATGTGTTTGTGTATTTTGTTACAGGACGAGCACACCTACGACTATATCGATTCCAGTGCCTTCAGTAATTATGCATACGAGGGTCATACTAGTATCCAGAAGAACAGAGAGGTATTCCAACCCACCCCTCCAAAAAGGTATGGCGTCTACCGGAGTTAGAATACCAGCATATTGTATTGGAAAATATTAAGCTTCAAATAAATGTTTTTGATTGCCTTGATATCTAAAGATAATTAGTGATTGTTTCAAGTGATTACGTAAATATACTTAAAGAATTCAATTCAAAAATCCTACATAAAATACTTGAAAGTAGGTAGAAATCGGGAATGCGAGAGAATTGCGGTTGTATATTTCATTTATTAATTTATATAATATTGACTTAAATTAAAATTTAAAATGCACAAAAGAATTTACAAAATATAAGACACATGCATCATTCATAAAAGGTAGCGTTTTTTGAAGTCAAATGTTTGATAAATCCTTCTTTTCCTCGTGTAGATCATCTCTTTCCATCAGTCGTCAGAACCGATGTTTGTTTGTGTCTGTCATCGTTGGTGTCCTTATAGTTATCATCACTGTTGTCGTCGTTATTGTCGTCAAAAGTAAGTTTGACAGAATTGACTTGGATAATCTATAAAACTACATGGTTTCATTAGTAAAAATACACTATTACACATTTCGTATATATATTGTTGATTTTTCTCATTATTTTATCAAATTTTATCTGTTAAAAGTTTGAAATTAGAAAGGTTTAAATTCCAAGTATTTATTACTAAGAAATTTAAAGTTTTAACGATGTACCCAGGTATCATTAGATTCTCACTCAGTATATCTATAAAGAATCATGAAAGATGTGAACATAATGTAAAATTAAACGAATTAGAAAACTTATAAAATAAATACTTATCATATTTTGTTTTCAGAGAAAAATGAAAGTAAACCCCAGACACCAATGGGTACGTCAAAGCTCATTTCATTTTACACTTTCCATGAAAACACATTTCAGAATTTTTTAGTAAAGGAAATGCATGACTTTCAAACAGAATTTTAAAAAAGATGATTTTTAATATTTATAGAATATAAGCCATGATATTTTTAGAATGCGTGTAATATTTATAGAATTTAAGTCATGATACTTACAGAATTTGAGGCCACCATGACCCTAGTAACTCCATGGCAACCAGAGTACTCTGACCCCGACAGTGAGGTATATCAGAGATTTACATCTACCCTCCTGGCCCAGGTACGAGAGTCTTTTACATTAATTGAGCATAAAGAAGGACACTACTATCATACTTTTAATACTACCATATACTTTGTGTGAAATTCACTTTGAAAGCAAATGCAAGAATTTCAGATTAGAGTATCATTTGAATATAAGTAAAAGGCCTTGTTATTTCGAAAGAAAATGTTTTTTTTAAAAAATCTTATAGTCTTTTTTTTTTTTTTAGATTTATATATTTTTGTCTTACATTTGATCCTAAAACTCACTTTAATTTTAATATACTTTTTCAAGAAACAATTCCATCAATCAACAATACCTTTTAAACCATACATTGAGGTTAGGAAGGGAAAGGGGGGGCTTTATTTCGATATTTGCATGTTCCTACACAGGTTGCTAAAAATTCCAGAATCATTTACTTCTTATATTAACCATTAGTTACCCCTTTCTTACGTAGAAAAAAATATATTGATAATTTTTACCTCACCGCTTGGTATTTGACACAGATATGGTAAAAAAATCTTTTGCACTGATTTCACTTGTATTCGCAAAGAATGACAAAATGATCACTCTTCAACTTTGAAATAGAATTCTTAATGTCACTACATGTACCATTCCACAGAATACTCTAGTTTACTGACTTTTATCCTGTTTGTTAGACAGAGGATGGTATAAGAGAAAGTGAAGTTGGCATGGACCTGGATTTCATCGTCATTTCAAATTTAAGGTATTTTTTTTAAAAATGCCAAAAGAAAAAAAATTCTTTTCCAATAAAAAAAACTTCGTATCTTCTTTATAAAAGTGCTTTATGAAGAAAAGATATATGTCTATTTTTCAGCCCAGGAAGCGTGATTTGTGATATCAAAATCTTTATGAAAACTGCCAAGTACTCAGTGAACGGAGCGTCACGTGACGTAACTCCCATTGTAATTCTGAGTACAATTACAGAAATCGTGAGGAAGGCCAAACAAGACAACCCAGCGTCACTTCTGGCAAAAGTCGACACAGCAGAAATAAGTGTCAGACAGCCGCAAACAGGTGCTTAGCTGTCTTTACTATTGACATCAGCAAAAACAGATTTTTTTACACTTTAATTTAAGAATGTTTTTTATAAGGTGTCTTTAAAATCTCTTGTAGTCTAGAAACTCCATAGTTGTTAATTAATTTGGTATATGCTTTATCATGCATATAATTCTGGTAAAATACAAAAATATAGGAAAACACATTTCCATAAAAGTAAATTTTTAATGACCTAAGTAAAAGTGAAGCATTGAAAATTGACATTAATGGAAGTAATTTTACAGGGGCACACTCTGGTACAGAATCAACAAGAAGTCCACCACAAACTTCAATGACCGCCATAAGATCATCATCAACAACAAAAACAACAACGACGACGACAACCACATCGTCCATAACAACATCAGTATTCCGCCGGACTTCGTCAAGTGTATCCTCTTCTCCATCCACTAGTACTGACATAACACCAGATATGATTCCGGGGAATGGTAAGTCTACTTTACACACGTACACCCCAAAAAAATGGAAGACGAAAATTCAAACAATATTGTAAAATGTGTTGTATTTCTTTACGCATTAAGTATTTGATAAACAAAACAAAAAAAAAAAAAAGAAACATAATGCTTGTCCAGCCACGTAGCATCGTTTTAGAAAGGGGGGGGGGGGGGGGCAACCAGATTTTTTTTTTTACTTACTTGAAAATTTTGACAAGCAAAAAAGAATAAATAGATAAATAAAAAAAAAAAATTAAAAAAAAGGAAAATCGCCCAAACTCAAAAATCCTTTTTCGTGAAGGGGGGGGGATGGAAGGGGAGGGGGGGGGGGTGTTGAGACTAATTTTTTCAATGCCAACTTCTTTTAGTGCCAATTTCTATGTACTGAAAAAAACTACATACACTACATTTCCCATCTAGGCCCAAAATTCAACCGAAAAGTTGGATTGACATTAAACCAGTACTTAGTAGTACATGTATTCCACATTGGTTATCTGGCATTGTCACTGTTTACAAATAATTAACTAAGGTATTTCCATCAATGATTATCAAAATTTTGATTTTCAGTATCAATATACAAGACAGATTTAGAGCTCCATACCTTTATTGTGTTCTCTTAATAACATAAATTGTTTTTGAACAACAAAAAAAATGATTGCTTTTGTTAAAAATCTTTTCAGAATACTGCCGATATACTGAGTTTTTAAAAGTTAATTATAAATCTAAAACTTTTGTAGATTCACCTTGTAGAAACATTACCTACTTGGAGACAGTGCTCTTCATGTCATGTTATGATGACGATGCATATAACCGAGCTTTTCAGTCTAACGACCTGACAACAGCGTTATGTAGGTAGGTTTCATAGAAATTCGTAGTAAAACCTTAATGAATCAGGTTCTTGTGGACAAGTACTACTCCCCCCCCCCACCCCCCCACCCCACCTGATTTTCAACCCTGGAGCTGGGACCTTTTTTTCATATAAATGATATTTAGTTATATATCATGTATATACCGTACACGATAAAATGGGGGAAAATGCAAAATAATTACCGGGTATTAAAATCTTTATATGCACAAAAATATATGAAAAAATGTCCTACAACCATAAATAAATTGTACGTTAATGTAGATTATCCCTTTGGTTTTTTTTTTATTAGCAATAATAGCATTATATTCAAATGGAAAAAGTCTGAAGCACGGAGCGATGCTTAGTTTCTTCCAGAAATTGATACTGCATTTAGGGTTATTTTCATCCTTTTAGCCTTGTGAACAATATTGCCCCGTTTTGAATTCGCCAAGTCACATTTCCGTTTTATTTTACATAATCTTTACAACCTTCTGTGGAATGTTTCAGATTTCTTGATAAAACAATTCGCTGCATAGTTCAAGAAGTTGCTAAAGATACTGGGATTACCTGCAGCAGAGCTCAGCAAAATCAGTTTATAGAGCAGAATGCAGACAACATCCAGATACTTCTTGTAATAGACCCAAGGATGTGTGAGTATTAACCTCTTCTGTACCATTATATCCTTATTTTTAAGGATGATATTGACTATACCCATTGAATTTAAAATTCACAGACTCAGAGACAGTTGAGATTTTCAATAGCTAAAGTACAAGTTTCAAAAGCCTCAAATACCATGTTAATCTGTATGTAGGTCTCTTCAACTGAAATGAAATGGATCCATAGTCAGTATCAACTGTCAGCATGATTTTGACAAGTCATTATCTATTAATGAAAGGGCTGAATTATATATACAATACGAACTTTTACCTAGAGATCTGTGTATCTGTTCATGTGTCTCAAACCAAAGAATCAAATTTAAATATATGAACATATGTTTTCATTAGCAGAATTGTTCCCTTCATCGTGAAAATATTTCCACTCAGATTTTAAAAACTAATAATTTAATTCTAGTTGTAACGCTTTATTTGATTGGATAAAAAATTATTTTATACTGTATAAAATGGGTTGCCTACGTCACAATGACTTGCGTCAGAAACGTATTAATCCGCCTGACGTTACATTCAAATTTTGTACAAATTGAAGTCATTTTGTTTGTACAATGATCGTTTTTTCTTACATTAAATGAATGAAAATTAAATTATAAGGAATGAATAAAATAGCTACCCATTTTATACGGTATAAACTGGGTTGGAACAGTTTACGCTTTTTTATAAACCGCTTCGCGGTTTATAAAGCGTAAACTGCCCCAACCCAGTTTATACCGTATAAAATGGGTAGCTATTAAATTCATTCCTTAATTAATATTCACTAAATGTACGATAATTTTGTTTACCGTTAACTGTTCTTTATTTTCCTCAGGTCTATCCTCCAGTCCTTTTCCATCTTTTGAAACGTCCACCTCCACTGCCTACCCAGAACCGGATATGACGACATCAGCCATCATAACAAACAGTGGTTGTGTTTTTCTAAAACATTTATCTTTATATCGACTTTGAATAAAACTTTTATCTAAAAAGGAGAAAAAGATTGTTTGTAACAAGATTCAATAAATAATACCATCAACTTTTTGTGTGTAATTAATCCATAAACATAAAATATCATAACACCTCCATGTAAATTCAATCACTCCATTGTAACGTCATTACAATATTGGTATTGTAGGATCACCATGTGAAAATTCATCATACTTAGAACAGTTGCTACTTACAAAATGTGTAGACTACTCAAGATACGTTCAAGTGTCTCAGTCAGACAGCACAGTAAAATGCAGGTATGTATAAATCAAAAATTATAACACAAGTTTCGAGCTAATGCTCAATTTTACAGCATGAAAATAAACAGGTTGAAAAGTCTCCTATAATGAAATATATGGAGATAACGAAGTACCCAAGTTCAAAAGTCCTAAAACAGTATAAAATAGGAGCAGAGAAAACACGGACCTCCAAAATATCAGAGGTGGCATCAGGTGCCATTGAGGAGTGAACTTTCCCTGCCAACTGGTCAACCCGCCGTGTTCTCCTTGTCATGATCGGGAAATAACGGGAAAATCCGTCTTCAATTCAGTGTAAAATAATGGACTAACAATTAGTATGAAAAACGTCAGTCAGTGTTTGATTTAAATGATTTATTGTATTTGCTGACAAGGTCATTGTATCGGCCATATAGAACTTACGAAATGATAACTTTATACGTGACTGCTGATGACATTGTTTCATCAACTTGTTTGTCAATAATTTACCTCGTTTTAGAAATTTTTGTACAAACGTAGAGCATGCTCTTGCGTATCGAATCAGCTGAGATATATACACTCCGTATGCATGCAGGTGATGAAGATATATTGCTGCATAAGTAAGGGAAGTTGACGATAGAAAAGTTAAAGTCGTCACGTTTATCATAGAACTTGATTTTTAGATTACCGTTGAAAATGATAAAAATGGTTTACATTTTTTGGAGTGCCTGTATTATTACAAATCACTGCTGAACCATTCTTATGGTAAGTAAAATTTTGTTTTCTTTATTTTCAGCTTTGTAGGTGACGCCATTGCGTGCGTAATAAAAAACGTTTACAATGAGACAGGTGTCCGTTGTACCAAAAATCAGAGAGATGCAGTTATTAAGCAGAACGCTGATTTAGTACAACGTCTTCTGTCAATAGATATATCAACATGTGAGTATTATTTCAACATGTAAAACACTACACCTATACTTTGCAGACAGTTCACTTGATTGTAAATTAATTGCTGCACAAAATTTACTTTACTATTATTATTTTATAAGGATGAATGTTAGAAAAAACAAAAAAAAAATGAATGTTTGATTTGCTATTTATTTATTTGTGGATTTATTTTTGTTTTACATGATTCAAACATCAATAATTTTCTTAAATATTAACAAACAGTAGACTATGTATCATGTACAAAATTCTTATTAGTCATAAAGCATAAATTAGTACCGTTTTAAACCCGATTGTCTGATTACTTATGTCTGCTAAAAAGGTGACACTGTACCATTTTTCCGTCCAACTTCTACAGAGTTTTTTCCTTGCAGATCAATTATGCGAGTATCAGAGATGATTTGATAATTAATTTTGACAAAAATATCAGTTACAGTTGTTGAGCTATAACGTTGCCTAAAGGGTACATAATTTATTCAGACAACGTCGCCTTCTATTTTCAAGAAAGGAGATTTTTATTTAAATTTACAGATCAATGTTATGAGGGTCATTCAATAAGTAATGCAACATACAGTATTATCATAATAAATGTTGAGGCATTTGATATTTTTTTTCACAGTTGAAAAGTTTTACTTAAGAGGTCCTAAAGACTGAAAACCCCATGCATTTTCTTATTGTCTTTGCAAAGGAATTCACTTTTAAAGTTAGCATGGTCACTACACTAAGCGAAAAACTGTTTATAAATGATCTCTGCCAAAAAAAAAAAAAGAAAAGAAAAGAATGAAAATAACAGTGTATGTGAAAACGGTGCTTTTTACTTAAATCGCCGAAGAATTCATATTTACATTGTAAGATGATTTTATATGTAGAAAAAAGAAATCCTTTTCAGGTGGATTCTATAACTCAGAAGAAAAAAGGAGATTTTAAATATTACAATCAATATGGCTGATTAAAATTCGGGGTGACACCAAAAAATATCGGTGTTATGTGCCGCATGATATCGGAAAATGCTAAATTTAAATGGAAAGACATCATAAAGATACTATAAAACATTAAATCATCACAGCATTTCGAAGACTTTCGACAAAGAAAAAAAAATAACAATATTTCTATCAGATAGGTGCACTATTTTCTTACAAATGCCTTAGAGAATACATGCGGTAAATGTGGCAACGGTCTTTTTTAAAAAATGGGGTTTTTGTTAAATAGAAGATTTGATAATCTTGCTTGATAGATGACAAAACATAGGTGCACTTTTTTATAGCCGAAAAATACGATTAATAATGAAATAAAAATGTGGAATCAAAGAAAATGTGTCATTTTATTACGATAAATAAAAGCAAGTGCTTCAAACATGTTTTATTAGTTTTCGTGTATTTAGAGGGATCCGTTAGAACATGTACATATATCCAAATGAAGGACTAGCAATGGTATCTTTTATGTTAGAATCGCACAAAGTAAAGTTAAGCAGAGTTATTGCAAGGGTAGTCCAAATTTCGGTGACTTAAGAGTACTTTTCCTGTGCCTGACAACGCAGTTGCATGTATGCTAAGAGAAATAAGACGTGAGATTTTTTTTCCCCAAAACACATGAAAATAATCAAGGGAAGATTGTACAATGTCAGATATGTCATGGGAAATGATATTCGTCAGTGCCTTTGGGGCATCCCTAAAGATGAGTATGCTGAGGCTTTTTGTGCATGGATACACAAAGACATAATAAATGTGTAAAGGGTAAAAGGGAATGCCTTCAAGGACTGAAACTATTAAAAATATGTATTATGTACCTTTTCATATTTTTAGATGAAATGTTGCATTATTTATTGAAAGACCCTCGTACAATATCAGAGATGTGTATACATGTTGTACTTGGATGTTACTAGCAATTCCTCTTAATTCATTAGACAAATACTATAGCTTTTGGATACAAAATGTATTCATAGGGTACATTGGTTTCATACTATGTTGAGATGTTACTTTCACTTTCAGAATAGGAATTTTTTATCAATTCAGTGGTAAAGGAAAATACCACACTTGTCTATGAAAAAGGTATCGAAGACAAAACAATTGGAAACCAAAAAATAAATACAAAAGCAGCATGCATACCTTTAATAATTAGAATGGATTTACTCTTAGTATATGATATAAGATTTTTAATGTATAATAATTTGATACTATTATATTGATTTATTTTTAATCTTTTCAGGTTTTCCTATGTAGAAAATAACAACCATTCGGGAATATGGTAGAAAATAGACCCGGTTCTTTCATCCAAGGATACTAAGAGAAAGCCACGGGCATTATTTTATGCAGGGCTTTAGGATTGTACATTAATTTCACAAGATAGGCATATGAAAAGGCATTTTAAATACATGTACCTAAATCCTGTAAACAATACTGAAGGACTGAAGAATTTCTACAAATAGATTTCCTTAAAACAAAAATTACTGAAAACTTTGCTTTTTAATTCGACAAGCAAACATTATAAGATTTTGTTTAAAGACATGGGGTTTTACTTGTAATTTTTTTTTTTGCATTGAAAAATGGTAAAATTATAGCCAAATTGTATGAATTTAAAAAAAGGTTTAAATTGGAGGATTTTTTGGACTGAAATATTATGTGTTGTATTATAAAAATAATGTTTCATTTGTCGTACTTTTTTATCCTACAGAATCTCTATTGAAATACATGTAAAACTTTTTGGTTCATTAGTTCCATTGAAAGTACGATTTTTCTGAATTTGACTTGACTTGGACTATATTTGTTTTGTTTGTGTTATATTTGATTGTCCTTATATAGAAAGTTTTCCTGGCGATGACGTACTTTGTTTTTCGATTATTATATAAAATTCTGAGATGTAAAATACATGTACTATTATAGTTGCATATCAGCTTATAGTATAAATAGTCCCATCAAAACCTTTGAAGGGCATTAATTGACATTATTACTTTTACTTATACTTTGTGCCTATTGTTTTTATTTTTGTAACTTATTAAAACGTTTATGATTAAAACATAACAAAATAAAAAGTAATTTGAAATTTAATGTTTCATTTCTTCAGACAACTGTCAATTATCAAACTTAAAGCTGAACACGACTCCTAAATAGGCATATGCCATTTTCGATATCATCTACGATACATCAACTCCTCAGATTCGTTACATCTGACTGCTTTATTGTCACGGGTATCAGCGTGGAATGGCGACCGCGTTCGTGCTGGTCATCTTACATTACCTTTGTTTGCATTTTATTGCAGTTATTTGTATCTGTGTTTGTTTGTACACTGAACTGACCTATAATTGTAAGTTTCTTTGGTATCTTACTTTCCTGTATTTGACGAAGTATTACGTTAGTATTTTGGCTACTGAGTGCTGTGTAGCATACGTCCGTCTACACCGGAGTCGACTGATACACTGAAAAGAGAAAAGTCCTGCCCTTTATATAGGGGTCTGCAGGTATAGTGATTCTCCGAACAAAAATAGTGGACACATTCCTTTTACGAATCGTATACATCATTTTCTTTCCAAAGGATCTATATTTTCTCTCTTATCAAAAACAGATTAGAATGGAAAGATCGATGATAGCTCTGCATTACTAGTATTTCATAATAATTTTTTTTCAAAGAAAATTTAAACATTCTCCTATTTGCAAATAATATGCTTTACACTTTAATATTTGCTGTTAATAAAAGCAATATAAAACTATCTTTTCAAATATATCAAGGAGAGTCTGATAAATTTCTGAATTTTTAAAATAAGAGATACTTTTTGAATAATTATTAAAAACAATATGATTTATTGATATTTTTATCTTGTATGGAATCTTTAAAAAAACAAGTTACCTACTTAGATTAAGCATTTATTATTGGTAAATTCTGGATTCTGAAATAAAAAAATATATATATATCTCCCTTTCATAAGGTCGATCCAAAGATATATCGACTTCACAGGAAAGCATATCGACCGAACACGAAACACTTCTGTAAAGTCGATATATTTATGGATTGACCGAATTAAAGGGCTATATTTGTTATATTTTTTGATGAGAAAGAAACAAAAAATAATTCTAAAAAAGTTTTTTTTATAAAGTTAATACTATTGTTTGCTTAACAAAACACTCAAAAATTGAAACACTTTTAAAAAGTGTTAGAAATATTCGTTTATGTAAAAGTATAAACACATTAAAAGGGCAAAAATGATCATTCCTTTATGTAGTATGAATGCCCAATGTCCATTTGTATCATGGCTGCGGTGTTTTTCCTTTGAAGTAAAGTGTACAATAACTGGAGATACACCGATGGGCGGAGCCAGCAAAAACTGTGCCGTATAAATAAATTATTGAACACTTACGCGATTTCATCATTTTAAATCACATGTATGTTGAATCTGAATTACAGAATGAAATGGGCTATAATACAAAGGCTAAATTTCTGCAAGTGAAATAAAAGTCTTTTACATAAATAAAATTACAGTGCGTATCCCAAACTACTAAATGCTTTTAAGGAACTCTGCAAATATTCAATCCTCCACAACGAGAAATCAAGTTCTTGACACGAATTTCACACAGAATTATATTAAAATATCACACCTATTGTAATAAACCGCTTTAGCAAAAAAAAAAAAACATCTTTGCCGTGTTCTTTGCTCAACGAGAACAAGTGCAGATGTACTGCATCCACAGATGAAGACCCTGACACAGGCTTTTAGTGAACGCGACAGCTCTCAAATATGTCAAATGATCAACGGGTACCTTTTTTCTGGATTTTCGAATAACATCTGAGTTTTCCTTCTTAACTTCGATTTTTTTCCTGTTTGATATCCAAAGGTTTTCTTGTGATATTCATTAAAATAAAATCCGTGCTTAAATTACGACGGGATGCTGCAATCCGACGTCCTTTCTCATGAACACACACACGCAAAATGAGTTTATTAAAAATACTGGCAGGAAGGAGAGATTATCCATGCGGTCACCTGACAAAAACTACATTTTCTATTGGTGTAATTAAAAATCATGCATATTATTTATAATATGACGTTTGATTGGCCATGATACAAGAAAGTTATTGAATATTTATTATGGTGTATCCTGATTTATTTGGACGAAGGGCGGAGACTCGTGCTTCGCACTCGTCACCGCCCTTCGCCCAAATAACTCAGGATACACCATAATAAATATACAATAACTATTACTTACACAATACAGATCGGGAACAGAGCAAACACGAACCTCCAAAAACATCAGAGATGGGATCAGGTACCATGGAGGATCGAGCATCCCCTGCTGACTGTCAATTCCGCCTTGTGCTCCTTGTCATGATCGGGAAAAAAGGGTGAAAAGTCCCAGACAATTCAATATAAAAATTATGGCCTAACAATTAGTATGAAAATACCAGCGTGTGTTTGACTTAATTGGTTGTATATTTGCCGACAAAGTCATTGTATCGACCAAAAAACTTGCAAAATGATGACTTCACGTGAGTCTTAATATTCTTATTTCATCAACTTGTTTACAAGTAGCTTTCCTCATTTAAAAATAATGTCCATACATGTACGCAGAGCATGGCCTTGCTTATCAAATCAACTACGAGACAAATTCCATCTGCATATGATGTGGATATATTGTTACAAAACAATTGTTCAAAATACGTTGGTCTTCCTTTCTTTTTTTAAAGTTACAAGTACATGTCAAGGCCGTAACTAGGCTCCAATTTTTAGTGAGGCAAGAGTGCTGGGCATTTTTAGTCCCAGAAGGGGCGAGGGTACTACCTAATAGCCAATGATGTGGAAAATCCAGGAGGATGGGGAATCGTGAAACCAGTTACCTGGGTATCAGAAAATAAAACATTTAATCTTAGGAAGTTTTTACGTTTATGAATTGTCGCTCGCTGGCACAGTGGTTAGAGCGTATGGCCGTATGCTCTAGAGTCGCAGACTAAGGAGTTGATCCTTACTTGCGGGTTCGAATCCCACTGCGGGATGTAGACCGGTCCTTCGGATCAGACCGTAAAAATCGAGGTCCTATATCACAGTAAGTGATGGCACAAAAAGATTTTTCACTGTTCAATCATCTTCAGTGACCCTGAAAGCCTAGTGCAGATTTTAAACTTGCAGCCCTCCACTGGCAACTAGTGGTGTCTCGATATGAATGAGAAATTCTTAGAAGGGATGTTTTAACAATCAAACAGTTTACAAAACAAACATTTTGAATTATATTTTATACAGAAATTTAATCAAAAGTTGAAAATATTAATTTAGCACAAAGACACACATAATTCATAAGTTTAGTGTAAAACTTTTTTCACTTTTCAGAAAATTCTAAAAATTTAGTGAGGCATTTGCCTCACTTGCCTCAATGGTAGTTACGGCCTTGCATGTATATCTTCAAATATATACTTTTAAATTTTTGCTTGTTTTTCCATAGAATAATTTTACCGAGAGAAATTTTCCACAGAAAATATTTTTATACTTCATTTCATACTTTTTAATATTTAGAACTTAGCTTTAAATACATAGTTCACAAACTGAATTTGTTTCTTAAACATGCATTTTGCAAGCATTGTTCTTCTTCTTTCCTTGCTATATAGACTACATACCTATGAATATATGCATACATGATTAGTATAATGCATATATATAAATGGACATATAGTTTGACTGACATAAAGGAGAAAAAAAAAATATGTACCAGTGTTCTAAAGCATTGAAATATATCTCTTTATGTTAAATAAGTAAGGTTTATCAATCAATTTCTTTTTCCAATCTTGTAAGAGTACATATATTTATTGACATATAGCATGTATAATGTATGTGTGTTGCTTGTCTTACTTACCTTCGATTTCAGTTTGACTTTATTATCACTTCAATCATGAAATTTTATACACATACCCTGAATTGTTTTACACAATGAATTCGACGAAATGGGGTCATTTAACAGAAGTCCGTTTCATTCATCGGTATAATTTATTTGTTTATGAAGAACACTGTCTGATGAAATGTTAACCTCTTCTCTTTAAGTGAATAAAAATGCTATAAAGTCAATCAACAATGAATTTTAAATCTACCATTACAATTTTAATTCTAAGGTGAAAAAATGTGTGTTTTGCACATTGTGGAAAGGCGGTATGCGTTGACGCATTTTGTGTAAGATTTAAATACCCGACAAGGATGGTTAACTGTAAGGTTCCTGTTTTAGAATCATTCAAGCCTGTTCCTGATTTTGCCATTCCCAAAGAAAATATTACAGAAATTCGAGGAAGGAATATTTCAAGGCGTAGTTTTTCTAGATCTGCTGCAACCTATATATAGAGGGCAAACATGGCCAAGTTACACAAGTTTACTTCGGTATGTTTACAATTTTGTTTTTCGGTCTATAATATTTTTTTCTACGTCTTATTTAAAAGTCGTGCATGTAGTTTGAAAGTTAAATCAATTACACCAATTGTCATTTGTAATCACAGCAGATAAAGGGTATTTGGATACTGTGATCAGTTGAAAATAACAATGCATGACGAAATTGTGAGCCGGTATTATCATTAACCTAAGGTATATCATCTGTTGTTTTGATAAAACGAATTTTGAAATTATTATCATTTATAACACTGCTTTGAACAATCGGCGCAGGACCATAACATGGCATTTAAAATGGTAGCTATAGAGTCATCTGTAAAATTGTTCTGCAAATTATCTTTGAATTTATAAAATGATTGTTATTTCCAGTAACATTTGAAAACCGTTAAATTTTTTTAATGCAAATTATATTGTAATTGATTATAAAACGATATAGACACAACTGAATTTCAATTCAAGTACATATTTTTTTTACGCAAATTTCATCACTTCCTCATTTTGTTTACCTGAATTCGTTCACCATCATTCAATAAAAACTCTCAGGTTGGTTGAATAAATTAAAGTTACAAAAAATTTCATTAAGATGCGTTCGTGAAGCACTGATGTACCATTATGGCAGCTCGTGGGGGTAACGTTCAAGTTTCCAAGATGCATGTTAGTCTCTAAGATGAAGCCGAAGAGATCAAAACTTTTTTTACCTAAAGGAATGTCTAGTCACACGTAATACACCTAAAACTATGAAAGAAGTAGCACAAACTGTTTGAGGGCACTGACCAGGGATAATATATTTTTTGAAAGTAGGTAAAACTCCAAAACAAAGGTGAAAGAATCAAAATAAACGGTAACCAAGGGACCGTCATGTCACAAAATATTCACTTGAGAATAAAGAAAGCCATGACACTAATTGTTAAAAAATTATGGCTATGGTTAAAGATTTCAACAGTAGGCCAAACTCGAAGGTGAAGGTCAAAATATTTTACAAAAGAAGGATATGGAGATAACGAACAGTATTCAATCTCAAAGTCCATAAAACAATACAAAATAGGAGAAGAGCAAACACGGACCTCCGAAACATCAGAGATGGGATCAGATGCCGTGGAGGAGTGAACATCCCCTGCTGACCGGTCACACCCGCCGTGTGCTCCTTATCATGATTGGGAAATAACGGAAAAATCCGTCGTCAATTCAGTGTATAAATAATGGACTAACAATTGGTATGAAAAACATCATTCATCATTTGTCTCAATAATAAATTGTATTTGCTGACAAGGTCATTGTATCGACCGTAGAATTTACGAAATGATGACTTTAAACGAGACTGTTGATATTCTTGTTTCATCAACTTTTGTTCATTCGTAGAGCATGCTCTTGCATGTCGAATCAACTGAAATATATATATACTCCGTATGCAGATGATGAAGGTATATTGCTGCATAAGTAAGGGAAGTTGACGATAGAAAAGTTAGAGTCATCGTGTTTATCATAGAGCTTGGTTGTTAGAATACCATTAACGTTTTTTTCAAGTAAAATATCCAAGTATGAAACAGATGTGTCAGACTCTGTGGTATCTTTTATCTCAAGCTCACCAGGATTTATCGTATCGACGTAGGAATGGAAAATGACCATTGTTAATTGACAATACGTCGTCGATATATCTAAGTGTCGAGTTGACGGCCACATCAAGTGTTTTCTTCTATACACGCATAAGACTTTGCACAAATTCTGCTTCATATGAATATAAAAATAGGTCTGCTAATAACGGAGCGCAATTTGAGATGATTTTATCACAAGGAACACAAAGGTGAAGAATGAAAGTCTAACACCAACTACTACTCGTAGTTATGAAAAAGTTATTAAAAAGTTTATTGTTTTGATTCAGTTTTTTTTTAAAAGATCTGCAGCTGGTTTTCAGTTCAAAATCAAAAGGTCAAATATGTTGGTACCCAAATCAGGTTCCTGTAGCACGGAATACACGTCTGAAGTATAAAAGCCATATATAGCTTAAACAGATCAATAGTCATGAACATGTTTAAAGTTTCCGTGGACAAACAGATGGACGAATGAACATTACAAACACTACTTACAGCATTTGTCTCCGAAATGCATAGCATAACGTGCTCGTTATTTCCCAAATTTAAGCTTAATATATTCAAATAACATAAAATTTCAAGAGACATTTAATTTCATAAATATTGTTATGTTCTCCTTTGCTTCGCTCATCCGAACATAAATCATTTCCTGTTCTAATTTAAATAAAACAAACACAGAGTATATGATAAGACATCGTTAGCCATTTATTAAAGCCAAAGTTGTACAAAGATATTCGCGTCCGTAGGAGGGCAAGATCAGCATCCAAATGAGTCAATGTTGGAAGATTCCTAATGGAAAACGTTCCCAAAATCCGCTGTTGATGGGTGAAATCGGTAACATCCTGATTGAGAGAGATTAAGTGGCAAAATTCAAGAAAAACTTTCATGCAATATCTGAAAAACACATCTAAAAATTGAAGCAGCAAAAAAAGAATTTAACAAAAGAAAATAAAACTTGAAAGTCGTTGACTAACTTTTGTCGAGTGATTACAATACCCGATTCCAAGATTTAAATACCCTAAAACCAAATACCTGCAAGTTACTGCTATAAACAAAATAGTGCCACTTAATAATACCAACATAAAAGAGAATTTAAATACCCCGAACTTGCAAGCATTACTGGTCTAGTGTATTAAGCGTTAGCCCCTCCACCCAAAGACCCCGGTTCAAATCCACTGTGAGGCACACATCTTTGGTATACAGAAATTGATCGAAGTTGCTCTAGATGACATTTCAACCACATCATCTACGAATCACACTGTACTACTTCCTGGGTTTTTTTAACACAAATTCACTCACTGATGTAATAGTATCACGGTGTGATTTTTTATAAAAACAATTTTAGTAACATATGTTTTAGCTGACTTTAAAATATACTCTTAATTTACTGTAATTATTTCAAACAACTTGAAAAACTTTAATTATGCTAATTACTGTGTAACTCCGAATCTGGAAATTAATTATTTAATCAATTTACTCAACATGTCATGAGTTATTCCATCTAAGCCATCTGTCACTCATGCTCAGATTTGTGCTAATTGCCTTTGTTATATTTCATTATTTATATGTTACACGAATCATTGTTAATCAGTTAACTCCTAGGCTTCGGATTGTTCGGGTGCAATTTTTGGATTTCCAGAATTCACCCTACCGACCTAAGTTTATAATAAAGTGCTATTCCATCGTTAGCATTTTTATGTTTTATTGTTGCCGGAAAGTTTTACGCTTATTTTCCCCGGTGATAATTTGGTGGAGATATCCTAAGGGTATAACACCCGGGACTGCTGCTTATATTTTGTAGCAGTTTGATCCTGAGTACCATCAACTAAGCAAGTTTCCCCGAGACGACCTATCTTCAACAACACCATGCCAACCTGGAGAAAAGGACTTTACCGCTCCTCCCCAACATCTAACCAGCGCCATTGTCTTTCGCGTCCTTGGATCACACCAGGACCAGCACGAAATTTCTCGACACCAGGATCCTTTCCACGGTGCTATAGGTGCGGGAAATCCTACTTCCGAGTGTTTCGTGTGCGGAAAACTTGGTCATTATGCGCAAGTATGTTTTTCTTCTGCAACAACACCTTACCGTTCCTCCCAAAGGAAATCATTTCCAGTTGCGTCCATCGATCACTCAACGATCAAAAAGGATCAAGCCAAGGGGTCAGGACGGGCCTGCATGAAGACAAACCTGGGAAACCCGTCTGTAGGATCGTCTGACAACAAGTCAGCAACAACATGCGATTCTACTGCAGGTGTGTGTTTTTCTCGGACTGCTACCAAATCTAGTCCGATGAGTGTTGCTGTTGCGGAGACGCAAAGGAAGAGCATACTTTGTCTGCAGACTAAGTCCGTAAGCAAACGGCGAAGTGAGGTGGATGTGGCCCCAACCATACCCGGTGTGGGCCCTGACTATGCCAAAAACATTAGAATACTGACAACAATTAACTGTGTCCTGACTTTGTATATTTTGATTTAATTTACACTTTGAATTAAATCCTGTATTTAAACCCCTTGCTTTGGAAGCAAGTGGGGGGAGACAACCAGGTTTTGGAGCAGAAAGTGTCAACACCTTGCACTGCAGAATCCCCAGTGCAGCCAGAGATATTGGAACAATGTCCCCCACAAAAAAAACCTTTTACATTATAAACTTTTCCATTTGTCAGAAAAACAGAAATATTATCCCAGATATAGAATAAGGTTAAAAATAAGCAACTCCTTTTGATACTTAATCAACTTCATTATTAAAACCATTGATGAGCATTACACTTAGAGCTCGTAAACAAAGGTATGATACAACAAGGTATATTATCACATATATGAACAAAATATAACAGCCTGTCCTGTGCTAACAAACACAATGAATTAACATATGCACATGTTCTTAGAATGAAACAATGTTGGATTTAGTGGAAACAATGACATATAAGTATATACATCTATATCAAAATATGGATCTGATAGCCTAATTAAAGGTCGGATGGTGGTTAGTGACTACCCCTTCCCCCGATAAAATGTTCTAAGGCAGCTTGCATATTATTTAAGTATATGTTGTTGCCTATGTCCGACAGGTGTGTACCGTCTGTTCGGAACAGCTCTATTTCTGAGGCTTTAATGTTGTGATCGTGGCCAATGTACAAACCCTCCACTTGGTCAGCCATGAAATTCTTCATACATTTATTGATTCTGATACGTTATTTGTTAATTTTATTTCCCATTCCCAAAGGTGCAAAGTGCCAATACCTTCTCGGTAGGATGGCAGACCAAATGAGGGCGGTACTTGGCCATAATGCATTAAATCTAAGTAATGTACATTGTGCATTTTCTGAGAAAGGTTTTGAAGTGATTTGTTCAGTGGTTAGGTCATTTGAGCCTAAATGTATGATAAGAATGTCTGGTGGGCTTTGATTTTTTGTCATTTCATTTACAGTTTTTTGTAACTCTTCCCATTTAAGTCCTCTTACTCCCCTCCACAGGATTGACGCCTTTAAGTTTAGGTTGGTTCCACCAGGTCTGCTAGCTGCAGCCAGTCGCCCAGTATGGGATTGATGATCCAACTATCCATATTGTTTTATCTGAAATGCTTTGGTAAAATTACTTGAGATGCGGAAACTATGAGACCTATAGTGACCTTGCACTTGGAGAAATGAGAGGGACCTATCCAAAACTGCCTGAAATTGAAAACGGGTAATCGGTGTACCATCTACATGAACAAACAATGTATCTGTATTGGGGGGGTCTTAACTGCAAATAAGGCTCGATTGTTGCCGTTGGACAAAATTGTGTGTCTGGTAATTTTTGTAATTGCAGAACTGAACTTTTGCCTATTTGATCTGTTTTGGATCTATTTATTTTTATGAAAAATTGACCAGCTTTGCTTTTGGAGATATCTTTAATGCACAAAGCTAGAATCTCATTAACTCTAAGCAGACCAAAAAAGGTAAGAGTGTAGGCTGCGGAAAAAAAAGTGCAGTCTCGAATGGTGAGCGGCATACCGATTTTAAGGTCTGTATAATTTTCCCAAACAGCTGAAATGATATGGGGAGTCGCATGTCTTTACTTAAACCACCAGACCTCTTAACACCCTCGACAGATTTTGTAACACTGAAATTTTTTGTATTGTCCTGAAACCCGTTGATTTTGTGGTAATAAGATATTGCGCTAATGTATAGACATATAATTCTGTAAGTGAAGTTATTGATTGAAAGGTATGCAATGAATTGTAACAGCTGATGAACTGGGACAGGCCAGCTTTGAGCCAACCCATAGTGAGCAGTGAAATTTTTAAACTTTGTTAATGCAGTGTTATAAGCCTGGTGAGTATTGGGTGCTAACGACCTATACAAAAGTCTTGAAGCTTCCTGTTCTAAATGTCCCAAATGTGGCGTGGTAGCGGTGTGGGTCACAGGTCTGCCTCTGGTGCAAGTCGTCGAAATCTGGCCCACTGCGAACGAGATAAAGCATCAGCAATGCAATTTTCTTTTGTGTGTATGTATTTTGCTGTTATCTGAATATTATACTGTAGTAAAAGTAATACAAGCTTTCTGACAATATTCATAACTCTTTCTGATTTAGAAGATAGTGTGTTAAGGACATGTACTACTGCCATGTTGTCAATGTGGAATAGGATTTTTGTATTTTGTAAGCACCCATGCCATAGTGTAATAGCTACCATAACTGGAAACATTTCAAGAAATGTCATGTCTCTGGTGATACCCAAATTAGCCCAAGACTGGGGCCAGGACCCAAATGCCAATTTCCCCCCAAAATAAATGCCGAATCCTCCATTGCTTCCCCCTGCACTATCAGTGAAAAATTGTATGGTTTGATTATCTAAAAATTGGCTTTTGATCACTGAAACACCGTTATATGATCGCAGAAATACTTGCCAAATAAGGAGGTCTTGCTTAATATTTTTAGAAAGCCTAATTTTGTGGTGAGGTTTTGAAACTCCGATTGTTGCATTAATGAGGCGCCTGCAAAAGGCACGACCAGGGGCAACCACCCTACAAGCAAAATTAAGTTGACCTATGAGCGATTGAAGTTCTTGCAAAGTAACCTCATGACCCCATCTTTTTTAGGAACCAAACCCAATGGTGACACTTGAAGGTTTAAAAAGGGGGGTTGTGGGAAAGGCCCAGCTACTCGGTTGAGTTGTAATTCTTTTTTGATTTTTTGGTGTGCTGTGGGCATATTTTTGTACAAACTTGGGAGGTTTTTACTTAACCGTGCTCTCCTAGGACCCAGGTACTGCAGTCTAAACCCAAATTTAAATCCCTGGAGCAGAAATTGAGAATGTTCATAACCTTGTAAATGTTTTTTAAGTGAATCAAATTTAATAGGAGTATGCCCTAATGTATAGAGATGTTTATTTCCTTGCGCAGTTGACTCTGGGATGATTTCCTCTGCACTGACTGCAAGTGTGGCTGTAGCGGCATCTGGGGAAGAAAGTACAGAATTTGCCCTGGTTGTATATATTACAGCTTAAAGGATATTTGGCACTTGTCTGTGTTGTTTTAGGGGGGAAATGTTGTGTTGTGTTCTTGGAATATTGACCTAAATTAGCATGTGCATATTCTTGTGGCTGTGATTACAGCATATGTCTCCGAAATGCATAGCATAACGTGCTCGCTATTTCCCAAATTTAAGCTTAATATATTCAAATAACATAAAATTTCAAGAGACATTTAATTTCATAAATATTGTGAAATACAGGTATACAGAAATTGATCGAAGTTGCTCTAGATTACATTTCAACCACATCATCTACGAATCACACTGTACTACTTCCTGGTTTTTTTTTTAACACAAATTCACTCACTGATGTAATAGCATTATTTCAAAAACTTTTTCATACTAGTGATTGTAACTAACATTGCACCAGTTTTGACGACACATTTATTTTTGAGTAAAATGATTACAAAAAGTGAAGTGAATTCACAATAAAACAAGATAAACATGTATAGAAAAATTATAGCTATGTGCTATGAAGTTGTATTTGTAAATTAGCGATTCCCTCACTGGAAAGAATACGATTAACTTTAAGGTGTGAAATATAAGAGCTTCATCACCAACCATTGAAAAGTTATGGCCTTTGCTTTTTTTTCTTAAAAGAATATTTATCTCCAAGGCGAAGGTCAAGTTGTCAAAACTGTTGGTCCTGAGTAAACGTTTTGACAAATTGAGTGAACTGTGAAAATGAAAGCTATTGCACTAGCTATCGCAAGGAATACCATAAAGAATATGAAAGCTATGGATCTGTCAGTTCAACGGTTATGAGAAAGGTTACAGTTTTTCAAAAGTAGGTCAAGCTCAAAGGTCACGATAAAGTACAACAGTGTTAGTAAAGGGTAGAACTTGTCACAAGGAATATATATTTGTATTAATTTTGTAAAATATAGAAACTCTAGCATCTGTCATTCATAGATTAAAGTTTGTTAATTTTTTTCGAAGATATTGTGTTTATCATCTTCGAAAATACACAGCTCGTCAAATAAAAAAGAATTAAATTTAACCCTGGGAGATATAACTATTTCCTTGTAAACGATATTTTGAGTGAAGTATAGGATTTAGATAAAAGCAATGTAATAATATGAGCGCCAGAGAAATCCATTTACGTTGTATATATATAAGAAATATTTCATTTCATGTATCTATAGATAAAGGCTGAGGAAGATGAAAATGGTGAAAGTAATTCTTTCGAAAACCCTTCATACGTGTGTGACTTTGATGACAAAGAGGAACCAAGACGTAGGTGGAACTATATAAGGAAAAAAATCATCAATTTAAAGCCTTGTATCTTTAATATATATTATTTACTGATGTCCTTACTTGTTTTAATCTTTGATAGCTCTAATTATTACTATTAAAAAAGTATTAATCGTTATCATACATAAAACTACCCAAGGATCTCTAGAGGATACTTTTTTTTTCATTTTTAAATGCAACAAACATCTTAATATCAAAGAAGTAAGACTTTCAAAATTTGAAGTATGTTGCGCAATTTAAAAAAGCAAAGACATACGTGTACGTGTCCTCTAATTTGTATATAATTTCCATAGATGCAGTTCAATTCTCGCCTCAAAAAAAGCGCTGTACACCATTCAACTTTGCAGTGGCAATATTCATCTTGGCCTCCGGGGGATTAGCTGTGTTTCTGATTGTCAAATTTTCACGTATGTATCAGCAAAATGTTAACTTATTTGGAGTAGCAATTTTTGTTCATGTGTAATTATGGATGGCTTGATTTGTATCTTTTATTTATCTTTTCCAGAGGACAACTATGATGCAGATCCCAGTAAGTTATTTAGTCTGATTATAAACATAAAAAAGTTCAGCTGAAATTAGATTTCAATAAATTTTAAAACTCTCAAGTTTTATGCTGTGATTTGATATATTCAATTTAGCATCACGACCAAGACTGGGAGGGTTTACCACTAAGCCGCCTGATACAGGTTAGCATAACGCTTTATGTCAAGTTGTCTATATCTCTTCAAATTGTAAATCTAATATTCAAATTTCATTACTGTATATTTAAATACAATTTCAATTTCGGATTGATTAAATCATAACAATTTTTATACATTCATTTTAAAGGAGTGAACTTTGATGTTACTTTGAGACTCTCAAATCAAATTTGGACTGATGATTTCTTGGACACAAGCTCTGAAGCGTATAGGAATTTATCAAACAGCCTAACGGAACAGGTTATGTACATTGATTCAAATAAAGTATCTTTCAAAGAGATGAAAAGGATAATTGTATGAACAGAAAATTAAAAAAATGCATATAATCAATTGCTGAATAGCTGAAGAAAGTAACCTAGGCAAAATGAAGATTTATAAACTACATACAGTTATGATATCAAAGGTTTTTATTTCGTAGATCAAGGAAGGTTTGAACGCGACAGAAACCGGACCTAACCTTAGTGGCGTGTTTATAACCGGGATAAGGTGAGAAATCTTAAGTTTTTTTTATTTTCTTTTCTCGTTACGTTAATCTGTAGAAGACATAGCACTTAAGTATTTCTTTATGAAAATGATTTTATTTCTTCGAATAATTTTCCAAAAAATTGATCGTTTTAGTATATGGATATATTTTAGCATTTATAGAAATAAATTTCAGAAATGGAAGTGTTATCATTGATGTTCTCATACAACTAAAGAACCCCTCATTAGCACCAACTCTATTATCGAGTCTGAGGAATGCAACTGAGAGGGCAAAATCAAGTGGATTACTCCCTTTACTGGCGGATGTTGACACTGAAAGCATTTACATTTCATTAACTTTACAAACAACTACAACAGTTATAAAAGATACAACTTCCGTTATGACATCATCCTCATCATCAATAACATCATCATCACCTACGCAAATATCATCATCGTCAACAACATCTTCAACAACAACACCAATATCATCAACAACAACTTCATCATCAACAAACACACCAATATCATCATCAATTAGATCATCATCATCATCATCATCATCATCAACTTCATTATTAACATCAACACCATCATCATCATCAATATCAACGACGATGGCAACTGAAACAATGACAACACCAACAACTTCACCGTCAAAAAATGTCACGACAGTAGTGTCTTCAACCCCATTGATGACAACAGCGTCATCAACGCCAGCAAGTAAGAAGCAATATGATAATCATATGTAGAATAGTAAAGAGTTACTTATTAATTTGACACGTCAGGAACTCCTCATCTAATATCTGAACCGTTAGACAATATTGAAATTTTCTATTTCTGGTAAAACCATTCACTATCACTTCATTTCACCATGGTATAAAGAATGATTTACTGTATAAACATACCTATACAAGCTACGTTTAAATAATAATTATTATAGTACATTTTCGAGTACTCTTTTGCGGAAATACTAGTAGTTGATTTGATGTTTTATTCATTGGGACTACATAGTTCACATATTGATTTGGGTTTGAATAGACTATAACACAAGCATTATATAATGATTTTGGATAAGTACAGTTTTTACAGATTGTGAAAATCTTATAATTGATTTTACAGGCTTTACACCATCAACATCTTTACCGCCCCCAATGATGACGACAACGGGGATTAGAATAAGTAGGTATGCTTTTAAAAACAAAACTTCAACATTAGAAAATAGCATTATTATTCTTAGTTTACAGTGCAATGGGTACTAGTATACTTGAAAATTAACGGATATGTCTCCGATGATATTATTGTACATGTATATTAATTTGTACTTAGTAGACTTCAAAATGTCCCCAATATTTTAACATACAATGTAAATACACATGGACATTTGATTGTAGATTTACTGTGCATGTTTGTTTTTCTTTGCACAACTTCTCTATAATATTCAATAAGTGCATTATTCAATTTCCATCATAATCTTTTAAAATACATTTTTTGTATTATATTTTAGTATCTCCCTGCAATAACACAGCCTATCTGACCAAAACCTTAACAGAACAATGTCTGAATACAACCCAGCTTAGCGAGGTCCAGCATTCCACTGTTGATATTAAGTGCAAGTAAGAATATGAAAGCGTTTGAGAATGCAATGAATCCTTCTGTATATTGCATTTCTCACTTGCTGAATTGATGTTATCTAACTGTGGCTAATTAACATATACATGGACAACGAGTATCAAAATGGAACTACGACACTTTATCTTTTCATCGGAACTTACCAAGTCTAAACGAATCTGAAAGCTAAAAACCGCCATCCAGCCAAATGTGACGTAGTCCGCAAATAGTCGAATGTGGACTATAGTTTTTATACAAATTAATGGGTCATTATTTTATGCCTAATTAAAAATCTAAACACTCACAGTTGTATTTATTTAAATGAAGCGAACATATACCAGGTATTACAATTTCTATTTTTTTCCCATCATTACTCTATTTCAGTTTTGTCCTCACTTCCATAGATTGTGTTCTGAACCATATACAAAAGGAATTCAATATCACATGTTCAGAGTCTGACAAACATGCTGCTGCGAAAGAGTTTTCTAGTCTTGTTTCTGGCTATCTCGGAATCAATCCAGAAATTTGTATGAATTACTTATTTTTTATTATATTACTTTTTAAAACCTTTATCGTCTTGAAAATAAATATGAATGCAACAAAAAACCAGTAAAAATAAGACATATAATTTTAATATATTTAAGGACCAGCATTTGCCTTGTTAATTGACTCATTTTATGAAATCATTAATCAGTTGATTCGATATATTGTACCTACATGAAATCACTGTTTCATTGTTTTGTGTTTACGAAAGAATACATTGTCAAGTATAATTAATAAATTATTTTGGATACTTACAATATTTAAATATTTTGACAATAGAAGATTGTAGATCTAACAATTAATTTTACAGGTCTTATCCCGTCAACCTCCTCACCACCCCTTATTCCGACGACAACGGCGATGAAAATAAGTATGTATCATTTAAAACTAAATATTAAGGAGAAAAATGGATAAAAAGGTTCATATTATTGTTTCACAATTTTCAATGCAATCGGCATATTAAAGGATTAACTGGGATATGCCCCTTTTATTTTGAATCATTGTTTTTTTTTTGTTGTGAAAATCAAACATTTATCATCATTTAGTAAATATTCTATCATACATTGTACACGAACATTTGCATTCACCATTAATGAAATGTGCATTTAACTAATTTGCACTTTTATTGTTTTCATCATATTATATATTTCATTCATTATTTCATTTTCATTCCTATGCAAAAATACATTTTTTGTATTATATTTTAGTATCTCCCTGCGATAACACAGCCTATCTGACCAAAACCTTAACAGAACAATGCCTGAATACAACCCAGCTTAGCGAAGTTCAGCATGCCACTGATGATATCAAGTGCAAGTAAGAATATGAGTGTTTGTGATTCCAATGAATCTTACAGTACATTGCATATTTCACTTGCTGAATTGATGTTACCTAATTTTGGACCATGAGTATAAAAATGGAACTACAACACTTTATCTACTTATCGGAACTTACCAAGTCTAAACTAATCTGAAAGCTAAAAAATGTCATGCAGGCAAATGTGATGTACTTGGTAAATATTCGAATGTGGATTATAGTTTTTCATACAAATCAGTGGGCCATTATTTTATGCCTAATTATAAATCTAAACACTCACAGTTGTATTTGTTTAAATGGGGCAAACATATACCAGGTTTTATATTTTCTAATTCTATCTCATCATCACTCTATTTCAGTTTTGTCCTCACTTCCATAGATTGTGTTCTGGGCCAAATACAAAAGGAATTCAGTATCACATGTTCAGAGTCTGACAAACATGCTGCTGCTAAAGAGTTTTCTAGTCTTGTTTCTGGCTATCTCGGAATCAACCCAGAAATTTGTATGAATTAGTTATTTTTTATTATATTACTTTTTAAAACCTTCATCGTTTTAAAAATAAATATGAATGCAATAGAAACCCGTTAAATTAGACGAATAATTTTTATATATTTAAGGTTCAGCTAGCATTTGCCTTGTTAATAGACTCATATTATGGAATCATTTATCAGATGCTTCGATATATTGTACCTACAGAATTCACAAATTGTTTGGGGTTTACGAAAGTACGCAAGTATTCAAAAATATATTGGATTTAAATACTTTGGCAATAGAAGATTGTAGATCTAACAATTTATTTTGCAGGCCTTATCCCGTCATCCTCCTCACCACCCCTTATTCTGACGACAACGGCGATGAAAATAAGTATGTATCATTTAGAACTAAACATAAAGAGAAAAATGGATAAAAAGGTTCATATTATTGTTTCACAGTTCTCAATGCAATCGGCATATTACAGAATTAACTGGGATATTTCCTTTTTATTTTGAATCATTGTTTATTTGTTGCGAAAATCAAACATTTATCATTATTAAGTACATATTCTATCATACATTGTACACGAACATTTGCATTCACCATTAATGAAATGTGCATTTAACTAATTTGCACTCATTGTTTTCATCATATTAAATATTTTATGCATTATTCCATTTCCATTCCTATGCAAAAATACATTTTTTGTATTATATTTTAGTATCTCCCTGCGATAACACAGCCTATCTGACCAAAACCTTAACAGAACAATGTCTGAATACAACCCAGCTTAGCGAAGTTCAGCATGCCACTGATGATATCAAGTGCAAGTAAGAATATGAAAGCGTTTGTGATTCCAATGAATCTTACAGTACATTGCATATTTCACTTGCTGAATTGATGTTACCTAATTTGGGACCATGAGTATAAAAATGGAACTACAACACTTTATCTACTTATCGGAACTTACCAAGTCTAAACGAATCTGAAAGCTAAAAAATGTCATGCAGGCAAATGTGATGTAGTTGGTAAATATTCGAATGTGGATTATAGTTTTTCATACAAATCAGTGGGCCATTATTTTATGCCTAATTATAAATCTAAACACTCACAGTTGTATTTGTTTAAATGAGGCAAGCATATACCAGGATTTATATTTTCTAATTCTATCTCATCATTACTCTATTTCAGTTTTGTCCTCACTTCCATAGATTGTGTTCTGAACCAAATACAAAAGGAATTTAATATCACATGTTCAGAGTCTGACAAACATGCTGCTGCTAAAGAGTTTTCTAGTATTGTTTCTGGCTATCTCGGAATCAATCCAGAAATTTGTATGAATTACTTATTTTTTATTATATTACTTTTTAAAACCTTCATCGTTTTAAAAATAAATATGAATGCAATAGAAACCCGTTAAATTAGACGAATAATTTTTATATATTTAAGGTTCAGCTAGCATTTGCCTTGTTAATAGACTCATATTATGGAATCATTTATCAGATGCTTTGATATATTGTACCTACAGAATTCACAAATTGTTTGGGGTTTACGAAAGTACACAAGTATTCAAGAACTATATTGGATTTAAATATTTTGACAATAGAAGATTGTAGATCTAACAATTAATTTTACAGGTCTCATCCCGTCAACCTCCTCACCACCCCTTATTCTGACGACAACGGCGATGAAAATAAGTATGTATCATTTAGAACTAAACATAAAGAGAAAATGGATAAAAAGGTTCATATTATTGTTTCACAGTTCTCAATGCAATCGGCATATTACAGAATTAACTTGGATGCGTATTTCCTTTTTATTTTCACATTGTTTATTTGCCGAAAATCAAACATTTATCATTATTAAGTACATATTCTATCAAAATTTGTACACGAACATTTGCATTCACCATTAATGAAATGTCATTTAAACTTTTCACATTTTCATTATTTTCATCATATTAAATATTTTATGCAAAATTGGCATATCTATTCCTATTCAAAGGGGCATTTTTTGTATTATATTGAAGGGCCACTCCCTTTTCAAAACACAGATAATCATGAATTTGTTAAAAATTAATGGCATTTTTAAAAAATCTTCTTCTCAAGAACAGCATGCCACTGATGATATCATGTGAAAGCATCCTCAGGTAGTGTAGATTCAAGTTTTGATTCCAATGAATCTTACAGTACATTGCATATTTCACTTGCTGAAATGGTTACCCAAGTTTTACATAGGAATATAAAAAAATCTTTAAAAATCTTCTTTTCCAGAACCACTGGGCCAGGAAAGATGAAATCATGTGGAATCATCCTCAGGTAGTGTAGATTCAAGTTTATTGAAATCATGACCCCCGGGGCAAGGGTGGGGCCAAAATGGCCGACCCAAGTTTTACATAGGAATATATAGGAAAAATCTTTTAAAATCTTGTTTCCAGAACCACTGGCCAAAGAAAGGATTTATATGTGGAATCATCCTCAGGTAGTGTAGATTCAAATTTGTTCAAATCATGACCCCCGGGGCAAGATTGGTGGGGCCAAAATGGGAATTAAGTTTTACATATGAATATATAGGAAAAATCTTTAAAAATCTTCTTCTCAGAACCACTGGGCCAGAAAAGATGAAACTCATGTGGAATCATCCTCAGGTATTTTAGATTAAGTTTTTTTAAAATCATGACCCCCGTTTTAAAGGTGGGGCCAAAATAGCCGACCCAAGTTTTACTTAGGAATATGTAGGAAAAATTTTAAAAATCTTCTTCTCCAGAACCACTGGGCCAGGAAAGATGAAACTCATGTGAAATCATCCTCAGGTAGTGTAGATTCAAGTTTGTTCAAATCATGACCCCCGGGGCTAGGGTGAGGCCAAAATGGCCGACCATAGTTTTACATAGGGATATATAGGGAAACCTTTTAAAATCTTCTTTTCAAATACTTCAAAGTTATGATTAGTGATATTTATATGGAATCATCCTCAGGTAGTGTAGATTCTAGTTTGTTCAAATGATGAACGCCTGGAGGGGGGATGGAGTAAATTCAAGCCTGATGTGCTCAGGTGAGCGCTGTGGCCCCTGGGCCTCTTGTTATTTTGAATCAGTGTTTATTTGTTGCGAAAATCAAACATTTATCATTATTAAGTACATATTCTATCATACATTGTACACGAACATTTGCATTCACCATTAATGAAATGTGCATTTAACTAATTTACACTTTCATTATTTTCATCATATTAAATATTTTATGCATTATTCCATATCTATTCCTATTCAAAAATGCATTTTTTGTATTATATTTTAGTATCTCCCTGCAATAACACAGCCTACCTGACCCAAACCTTAACAGAACAATGTCTGAATACAACCCAGCTTAGCGAAGTGCAGCTTTCCACTGTTGATATCAAGTGCAAGTAAGATTATGAAAGCCTTTGAGATTGCATTGAATCCTACTGTATATTGCATTTCTCACTTGCTGAATTGATGATACCTAACTGAACCTTATACACTTATATTTACATTTCCAATGTCTTTGTCCGAGATAAAATTTCAAATAGTTAATGTACTTTATTTCCCCATCAATGTACTGTTTCATGGATAGGCGCTGTTAGAAAAAAAAAATCACGGGCGGGAGTGTCAAAGCAATAGAGACAGACGCGGGGCTTGAAGCACGTGGATTAGCGTCCAATCAGGAGAATGTAAATATAATTACATATGTAATAGCTGTACGTCAGATTTTTTGATTTCATGACGATGATCAATCGATTGGCTTGCTTGATAATTTAATGCATGAACGCCTTCGGCGTTTATGCAAATTATCATGCAAGCCAATCGATTGATCACATCATGAAACCAAAACATCTAACAGTTATTCCTTAATTACATGGACCATGAGTATCAAAATGGAACTGCAACGCGTTATCTGTTCATCTGAACTTACCAAGTCTAAACGACTCTTAAAGCTTTACAAATGCACGCAAAGGTGATGTTAATTTAAGATATTCGAATGTTAGCTGTCTTTTCCCATACAACTCGGAAGGCCATTTTTTCACTCTGAATTGTGTACGGATTCTTTCCGTTTACCTTATCATGACACAGAGCATCGTGTATCAGCTGTGTATACAAGGCGGGTACATGAAAGTGTTTGATGCGTGACCAGGCAATCGTTTTCAAAACATGCAAATTCAGTTTATCAGGAAGCACAGGTAGCTGGCCTGTCAATCAAATCAGAAGCTATTGTTTTTTCAATGATTGACAGGCGGTAAATTAATTATCTTGAGTCAGGTAGATTTTGGGGGCGTTAACATAGAATTGGGTGTTTAAAGTTATCTTAAGATTGTTTTGATTTCTTTCTATTATTAAGGAATCTTCTTTAATAAGTACTTGTAGTCAAAATTTTATGTTAGATTCTTAAATGTATGCAAGTATACCACGTTTAATAATTACAAATTCTATCTTTACTCTATTTCAGTTTTGTCCTCACTTCCATAGATTGTGTTCTGAACCAAATACAGAATGAATTCAATATTACGTGTTCAGAGGCCGACAAACATGCTGCTGCTAAAGAGTTTTCTAGTATTGTTCATGGCTATCTCGGAATCAATCCAGAAATTTGTATGAATTACTTTTTATTTTTATGCCCCCGAAAATTTTTAGATAATTTTTTTCATTACTTCTGAGAAAAAATATTTAATACATAATTGATTTATTATTTGTCTAACATTCATGACTTTTTGTTTATCAAATCAGAATCCAATTAAATTTTCAAAGAAATTGCAGGCCTTTCAACAAGTCCATTGACACCAACCTCGACTCCTACGGCTGACGTGACAACGCATGGTGTATCAACTGAAAAACCAACGCTGCCACCGACAACTTCCTCTAGAATGACAACAATGTTAACATCAGAAACAATGCCACACACGTCATCCAGAACAACAACATCTTTACCTGAAACATCAAAAACATTAACACCAACAATATTATCCACAACAGGAAAAACAACAATATCAACACCTAAAATAATGACATCAACAACATTATCACCCACAACTTCAAAGACTACTAAGCTGACAGAAACAACAGCTACGTCTTTTTCATCTCCCACAACAATGGAAACAACAATGTCATCTCCAACAACAACAACAACGACAACATTCTCGTCACCCACAATGACAACGGCAGAGCCACTACCTACAATGACAACTGTGTCAAAAATAACTACGTCATCACCCGTACCATCATCCCTGACTACAACAATGGTATCATCCACAGCGAAAACAACAAAAATAACATCATTACCGCCAACCTGGACGTCAGTGTTGTCACCTACTACAATAGGAACAGTATTGACAACAGTATCATCGACAAACACATCATAGCAAATAAGTAAGTTCTTAATGAGAAAATACATTTAAGGGATTTTATTTGTGCATTCGTTTAACTGCCCCAATGTCCCCTCTATCTCCCCCGATTTTACTTTATGCCTACTTGCATGGACGATATATTGATCTTCATTCAGGAAAAAGCACAGTAAGTGTTTAACATATCTGAGATATATATACTCTATCCATTTTTAGCTCACCTGAGCCGAAGGCTCAAGTGAGCTTTTCTGATCAAAATTTGTCCGTCGTCTGTCGTTGTCGTTGTCGTTGGCGTCGTTGGCGTTGGCGTTGTCGTTGTCGTTGTCGTAAACTTTTCACATTTTCATCTTATAACCACTGGGCCAATTTCAACCAAACTTGGCACAAAGTTCCTTCATAAAGGGGATATCAAGATTATTAAAATTTAGGGCCATGCCCTCTTCCAAGGGGAGACAATGTATGATTTTAGTGAAAAATTAATAGCATTTTTAAAAAATCTTCTTTTAAGAACCACTGGGCCAGGAAAGATGAAACTTATGTGGAATCATTTTAGGTAGTGTAGATTCAAGTTTGTTTTTTATGACCAAATGGGCTAGGGCGGGGCCAAAATGACAAAGTTTTACATAGGAATATATAGGAAAAATCTTTAAAAATCTTCTTCTAAAACCACTGGGCCAGGAAAGATGAAACTCATGTGGAAAAATCCTCAGGTAGTGTAGTTTCAAGTTTGAGAAAAATCAAGACCCCCGGGGCTAGGGCGGGGCCAAAAACACAAAGTTTTACATAGGAATATATAGGAAAAATCTTTAAAAATTTTTTTTAAGAACCACTGGGCCAGGAAAGAAAAACTCATGTGGATATATCCTCAGGTAGTGTGGATTCAAGTTTGTTAGTAAATCATGACCCCCGGGGCTAGGGGATGTGTGGCCAAAATGGTAAAGTTTTACATAGGAATATATAGGAAACATCTTTAAAAATCTTCTTCTCCAGGACCACTGGGCCAGGAAAGATGACAACTCATGTGGAATCATCCTCAGGTAGTGTAATTCAAGTTTTGATATTAACAAATCATGACCCCTGGGGCTAGGGCGGGGCCAAAATGGCTTAGCAAATATTTACATAGGAATATATAGGAAAAATCTTTAAAAATCTTAACTTTTAAGAACCACTGGGCTAGGAAACATGAAACTTATATGGAATCATCCTCAGGTAGTGTGGATTCAAGTTTGTTGAAATCATGACCCCCGGGGCTAGGGCGGGGCCAAAATGGCCGACCAAAGTTTTACATAGGAATATATAGGAAAAATCTTTAAAAATCTTCTTAAGAACCACTGGGCCAGGAAAGATGAAACTCATGTGGAATCATCCTCAGGTAGTGTGGATTCAAGTTTGTTCAAATCATGACCCCTGGGACAAGGGTGGGGCCAAAATGGCCGACCCAAGTTTTACATAGGAATATATAGGAAAAATCTTTAAAAAACAAATTCATTGAATTTTATAGAACCACTACAGTAAAAATAAAATGTAATTATAGGATAGTGTGGACCAAGTTTGAAAAGAGACCCTTGAAACATATACCAAGAACAAAATATGATAGTTTTACATAGGAATATATAGGAAAAATCTTTTAAAAGAGAGCCTTCAAAGAAACATTGAGAAAGGAAATATGAAAAATGAAATTATCCTCATAGTGTAATGATCAATTTTTAAAGATATGACCCCTGTGGGCTAGTTTTTTTGAAAAAATGGCAGATTAAATTTTAAATAAGGATATATAGGGAAACCTTTTAAAAATATATGTACTTAAAAGCCATAAAAATATTTTCCTATTTATATGGAATTATCCTCAGGTACCCTTGTACATTGTTCAAATCATGACACCCAGGAGGGTTAAACTTTTATGATTGTATATTGTATCAAATCAGACTAACATGACTTTAAATTTTGACAATCATCCAATCTCTAAGTGGATAAAGAAGTTTTGGCACATATGCTTTTTGATATAATGTGCTCAGGTGAGCGATGTGGCCCTTGGGCCTCTTGTTACGTAATGCAAGATATGTTTCGAATTAATATCTTGATTTTTGAAAAGGGAGGAAATGATATTTTCTCTCTTACAATATTTTTTTTAAAGTGGTGGGTCTCCTGTTTTGCATTTTTTTAGTGACCTAAAGCTAATTTAATATAAATAATTAAAGTAACGGTTTGGATTCCTTCATATAACAGATATTTATTTATTAAAATTTATTTTACCTTATTTCAACAGACAATGTACGTGTATATTTTGTGCATGGGCTTGTTTACCAAACAATATAATTATTTATTTCGACCAGAGGTTAAATAAACAAAGTGAACCATTTTAGTTGTAAAAACTATTCATGATTGTTTTTTATACCAAATGAATTAACGGATGACGTTGTTTTTAACACTTTATCAAACTTTATTTATCTAAAAAGATGGGGTTGGGAGGTAAATTTTTCCACTTTTAAAAATGATCATAACTTTAGTGGGAGAAAAATACAAGAGATATTTCTAGAAAAACACAATAATCAATGCATTGTTGAATACATACGCTGAAGTTATTTTTATTTAAGGTTCATATGGGGATGAATGAAAAAAAAGCATCTGAGAAAATGGATATATCCTCCAATGATAGGGATACTGACGTCCATGACGATGAAGTGTAGTAAATCTGAATTAACTTGGATGTGTGTAAATGGTATAGATAATTACTGAATCATCTTAATTATCAATCAAAATCCTCTGTCATCTACAGACCTAGAAATGACATACTATTGTCAAAATAAGAATTTGCGTTTTGATATTGACAAATACAAGACTGTGAACACCAGTTACAATAAGCTTAGCATAATATATACGCATTATTTCTTGAAAATTTTGTAGTTAAGTCGTTTTAGCTTTTAATGCACACCATTTGTTATCTATATTATTCCTTAATTAAATCATTTCATCATAGCTAAAGTGAGTGTAAGAATGAAAAATTATTCTCCTAGTATAATGATACTCTATAGAGTTCTTTAGTGTACTCGCTTTACCAACCTGTGCAGAGCGTACAAAGCTCACCTTTAGTTAGTGTAACGTGTGATGATAAATGTTTTGTTATTATATTGAGCATGAATCTGAGTTGATTTTGTGTAAACATTGTAAGTTTTATCAATGTATTTTGTATATGTAACTCTTTGAGGGTTTTGGCGCAATAAAGGAAGGTTTGGGATGGATGTCTTACAACTTAGACTAAAGTTTGGATAACGAAACCATATGTTACATATGATACTGGCATACCAATCGTTTTCATTTTTAAAAATATATATAAAAAATCCGACCTGTGCATACATTTGTGTATGGAAGGATAATTTGTTGGAATAAATATAAGTTTTTAATGATCAAATTGTGTCCTATTTGTAAACGCTCTCTGTGCTTTTATTCTTTAATTTTCATTTTTATTAAAAAAATCAAAGGTTTTGTTTTCATTATTTTAAAAATGTTGGGAGTAAAAAAGGTCAGAAAAAAATATACTTAACAAAAACCAGAAGTCTCTGTCGAGACTGTAGCTGTACTGGTTTGTACTTGCCATCACAGCAAAACTGTAGAAGGAGTAGGGTTTTAAAGGAATTTCAATTTTTAGTAACAATGGCAACACTGTTCATCGAAATCAAAATCCGATGTACTATTTTATGTATCTTTGTGTGGTCTACTTGTGTGCCAAGTAATATTGAAATCAGACTAAAACTGTAGGAGGAGTAGCGTTTTAAAGGAATTTCACAGAAAATTCTATTTTTAGTAACCATGGCAACACTGTTCATCGAAATCAGAAACCGATGCACTATTTTATGTATCTTAGTGCAGTCTACTTGTGTGCCAAGTAATACTGATATCAGACTAAAACTGTAGGAGGAGTAGCGTTTTAAAGGAATTTCACAGAAAATTCTATTTTAGTAACCATGGCAACACCGTTCATCGAAATCAAAAACCGGTGCACTATTTTGTGTATCTTAGTGTAGTCTACATGTGTGCCAAGTTATATTAAAATCAAACCAAAACTGTAGGAGTAGTAGCATTTTGAAAAATTGTTTACAGACAGACGGACAGACAGACGGACGGACGACGGACACCTTAATATTGCATAAGCTCTTCTGGTCTCTGACCAGTAGAGCTAAAAATTGACGTGGAGATGCCAAAATTCCACCAAGAATAAAAAGAAATTAAATATGTTTGATGGATGTTTTGACTTCTTAAAAAAATCATACCCATTAACTTTTCCAGAATAACTATATATGAGCACTTCTTTATACTGTTGTGTAGGATGGTTCCTACGAATCTATGCTCGTAAACGCCTTGTAATAAGTTAAGCTTATTAAAATATTTCCATAATTTTATCATTGAACCGGTGGCAGCATTTATATATTATTTCTTTGCCAGCATTGGTATATTGTTTTGTATTGATTTTCTTTCATATTATCATACAATGTGTATATCATTATATTGACGTTTGTAATATAGGTATTTTATAATCTTTTTGTTTGGTTCATTTATTTTTTATGAATACACAAATACAAAAGAGCATTTATCTCTTTCTTCTATGTTACCTGTAGTAAAATATGCAAATATATAAATGTGTTAAAAATTAAATAATACAGAGGGCAAGAGTTGCATTTTAACAATTTGTATGAAATTGTGAGATGGCTTGTTTTACATATATCCTGTGTAAAGAGAGAAAGGAGAACCTTTTCTCATTGAAAAAAATCCTTTGTATATGTTCTGTGCGACCAACAGAATTAATTATGTCATATGTTCTAAGTTCACTTTGTGTGCAGTTTCAGTCACATAAGATGCGTAACACATATATTCCGCTACATAAAATTTAAATGTCAAATGTTTAAATTCTTGGATCACTGACTTCCTATTGTATTTTGTCACATTCATCTGTCGTAAAGTCTGCACCTTTAACGGGTGTAATGACAAGGGTATGCCTAAAATAGTCTTCATTTTCGTTTAATTTAATTATGGCTTCCTCTATGGGATAATTAAATTACAAGAACATGGCAGAACTGAAACGATTTACAACGGTAAGCTCTTTAATTTCAAATCCCTCTTTGAGTTTTAAGTAGCATCTCATCTTGTTCGTATCAAGGGCGTTGGCCTCAGCATATTTAAAATATGAACAGTAAGGACTTAATATAATCATTGATAAGTGAAAAGTACATATTAACCATATGGCAGTAATATTTTACTAAGCAAAACGCATTAAAGTATTTTTAAAGAAATTTTATATTCTATACTGTGTCTGTCATCAATGAATGCAGGAAGTATTGCGCATGCTATGTTCAGGTTCATACTGAAAGCTAACTCGTATATTCTAGTTTGGTGAAGGTGCGTCCGTGCACGTGTATTCTGACGGTAAGGAATATGTTCTGCACGGTGCCCAAGGAGCCAGGCCGCTGTCTGTTTACAGTGATGATGGTCAATTGCTATCAAAAGTTGGAAAACAGCAAATCCCACAGAAACCATCCGATGAAATCATTGTTGTTATTGATGAAGATACAAACGAGAAAACGGCATTCATGTACGGTAAGCCCACCTCAAGAGAAAAAAGTATGGCCTTCTCTAACGAAGCCTTTGTGGAAGATGAGTCGGTTTCAGGTCCCTCTACGTCTCTAGCTGGATCAACGGGGAAAGGTTCGTCATACAGTGGTAAGTTTCAGTATCACCCACCTTAACCATGTTAACATAGGTAAGTGAACACCAAACTTCTTGATGACCAAACTTCATGTCATATCCCAATGAAACTTAAATGTTTTTTAAAATGAATTTTTATACTTAAATTTTTGTTTTTTACATATGTTACAAAATTATATATGCATATTTTAGACTTGGAAATGCAAAATAAAATATTGAGTACTAGTTCAGGTACGACATTAAGTGACTTCACAATCTACTAGTATCTCTACTTAATATCTTGTCTGGTTTGCTTTCCATTCGCAAAAGACTTTGATTACAATACAAACTTTATGTCAATGAAAATGACATGTGGAAAGCATTGTGGAATGCTAATACTTACAATTAAAGCAGTAATAAGGTAGGTTCAAAACTATAGACACCTATAACTTTTTACCCAGAATATTTCTGTTCATCAAATGTCTTTTTCACAGGTTACTCATATTCAGATTATCCTGAGTTGAAACCGAAGCGTTTATCGTTATCGAGTTGTTTTCTTATCCTCATAACTCTCATCGCCATTGTCATCTCTGTGTACATGATCTGGTACCTTAACGGTAAGAATTATTATTGAAAATATCGAAGATAAGATTTAGATTTCTAATCCAGTGCAGGACACTTAGAGGAACCAAATACAAACATGGTGCATCAAAAATTAAGAAAACGGTATACAATCATTTATGTAATTTGACGAGAGAAAACTAACGTTTATGGTAATGAACATGTAGGTGTATACTAGGAGTATAACTTCTTTTTGACAATTTTTTTTCTCCTTGTCGAATCGAGGTGAGCTTTTGCTTACATAATCTTGGCATTGGTGTCGGCGTTATCATTAGTGGTTTTTTTTTAAGTGTAAGTTTCATTATTTTCCAACCTTCCTCCCTAGACCAACGTGCATAAACTTATGCAACATCGAATGCAGGTAGTAGGTTTCATTCTCCAGAAAACTCAAGCCCAGTGGTGACTAAAATCGCATGGATGATGCTTACATGTTTAAGAATGCATGTCACCATTCTGACTGAGACTGCTGGACCTGATTTACATTTTGAACAAGTGAACAGGCACAAAATATTTATAGAGGAGTGTTATTTGCAAGTAATAGCAAGTCCTACCTGGACGAAACTTACATGGAGAATTATGTAAAAATGCCAACCACAAGACCTATTTCGGACACTTTATCTAACCTTTAAAAATGAAAACAGATTTATTCCCAAGAAACTTTAAGTCCAAAGTGGGCCGATGCATCTTGAGTATAGTACAGACTCGCTTCGAATCTTCGAACTTGCTTGGTCTCATACATTTTCCAGCTGGATGAACAGATTCTTTATTACTAGACTTACATATGCCTAAAGATACCATTTGAGTCAAGTTAAGCTACATGTTATATTTGATAACCCTTATTTTCTTATTTTAGCGTAACAACTTACAAATTACTTTTACTCTTTGTTACCATGTTCATTTGTTTTCTTTTTTCAGAAGACAACAAAGGAGTCATACAACCGCGTAAGAAATAATCCACATTCCAGTTATATTTTGTTGTTTTCTCTTTACTTGATATACACATGTGTAAAGCATTTATTTTATTTTAAATTCAATTTGAAAGCCTGTGTAGTTATTAAAATGGCTGTGATTATTATTAGCCCTTGTTGTTTATCTCCATAAATTATGTTCATTAAAATTATTTATAACTATACAACTTCTAATTATTTTCCGCAATGTAATTTGGTCAATACAGTCAATGAAAATGCATCATTTTATAACATACTACATGTAGTATATTGAGATTATAATTAAGACACGCATTGAGTATAAAATTATGAAGAGCGGTGGGGTTTCTTTCCAGAAACGACAGAGTTTGTATTTACGTTACCCCTTCCACAAACACCTAGGTCAACGATTGTGCCAGGTAAGCTTCAATTATTAATAATAAAAAAAAGGGTAGAAAGGTATTGTACCATTCTAATATTTTTGTGAAATTTGTCATATGCGTTTTATAGATTGTTAATACATGTATATGAGTGGTCAATCCATATTTTAACAAACTATTTATTCACGTGGCAAATCGCAATGTGAGGTCCATGTTTGCTCTGCCTCTGTTTTGTATTGTTTTATGAGACTTTCGATCTTGAATACTGTTAGTTATCTTCAAATGTTTCGTCATGTCAACTTCAGAGTCTACAACACAAACTTCAGGATCAACTCAACAATCCACCACATCTCCAACGATAGAAAGGACAACAACAGAAAGCAGGGACACAGAAGAAACAGAGCAATCTACCTTAGGATCAACATCAGAAACATCAGATGAACCCAGTACAATAAATCTTGGAACAGATACTACTGTATCTCCCAATACCAATCCAACAGAAGGCACAGATACAACTGAAATGCCTCTCAATACAGATTCAACGCAAGACACTTCTTCAACTCAAGTGCCTATCCATGCAAATTTAACTCAAGGCAGCACCTTTTCAACTCAGGTGCCACAGTTTTCAACTACAGCAATGCTCAATACAGTTGATCATATTACCAATGCAACTGCATCAGAATCAAGTGCTTCAGTTAGCACAACAATAAAATCTTCAACAAGTTCAAAAGACAGTAATCGTAGTTCAACTTTATCAACATCACTGTCTTCAATAACAACAACATCAACAAGCACTGTAGCTAACACAGGACAAACAACTTTAACTCATGCCATATCAACGACGCAGCCTTCTACATCGACAAAGAAAAGTGAAACTTCTCAATCTACAATTCAAGTGCCCTTGACAACGCAATCTTCAAATACAAGTACAACAGACTATGTAACTAGTATTACTGCAACTACAAGTCAAACCATCCCCATTATACAGTCAACCACAACGCCAAGTACAGATAACATTGTATCTAGTTCGACAACAAAATCTTCAACCGAATCTTCTGCTACAATGACTACAGAATATACAAGTACAGACTCCGAATGAAAAACAATATCAAAAGTGATGCAACAACGGTTCCTAATAATTAAAAACCAACATGTATTCTTTTACTTCATTAGCATTTCCATCATCTAAAACAGATACCTTATTGACAATTGGGATATTCATGCTTATTTTATTGAATATACATACTGGTGTTATTTAAGCACGCCATTGTTCAACATTGTCTAGATGAATCACTACATCGTTTCTATTATCAGACATGCAGTCCTGTCAAAAAAAACCCGGTTAAATGAAAATTCATTCTTTCAGCAGTCATCTTGAAGACTGGTATCTTAAAGATCCATCCAACAATTTGATAATCATTATATATTTAATCCCGATATGATTTTTTTAATCAAAGACTTTAAGAATTTTTCTTATGTAACTAAAATTAATATAAATAGAATAAAGTTTTTATTTTACAGAAAAAAAAAACGATTTTCCAAACAAACTACACTTTTGTTTTTGGATTGAAAAATTCCAATCAAGGTGCAAATTTTAGCAATAATCAGTAAATATGGGGTTTTATTCTTACTAAATGGTCAAAGCTGTTGTTTTGTATCATTTATTACCTTTATATGACTACTTTCTCATGTGTGAATGTAATTAAAATTTTAAATTGCCAAAGCATATAAAATAACCAATATTCCCAATGAAATATATGGAGATAACGAACAGTATTCAAGCTCAAAAGTCCACAAAACAATACAAAATAGGAGTAGAGCAAACACGGACCTCCAAAACATCAGAGGTGAGATCAGGTGCCTTGGAGGAGTGAGCATCCCCACCGTGTGCTCCTTGACATGATCGGAAAATTAGGGAAAAATCCGTGGTCAATTCAGTGTATTAATAATGGACTAACAATTAGTATGAAAAACGTAAGTCAGCATTTGACTCAATGATAAATTGTATTTGCTGTCATGCTCATTGTATCGACCACATAATTTACGAAATGATGACTTTAAATGAGACTGTTGATATTCTTGCTTCATCAACTTGCAATTGTTTGTCAATAATTTACCTCCTTTAAGAAATTGTACATTCGTAGAGCATACTCTTGTGTATGGAATCAGCTGAGATATATGTAAGACTCCAAGGTCCGATGGTGACGCCAAAGTCCGATGACTTTAGTCCGATGGTCACGCCAAAATGAGACGCGCGACGCTAAAGTGCGATATTGTTTATGACGTCATCAACTTGCATTGTTGTCCTGCATTCAAAATCCATTGATTCAATATTCGTCTCACAAACATTTTATGAATTGCTTAGTTTTCGCCTAGCTATTCCTTTAAGAAATTGATAATTAGTTCTTGAACACCAATTTGTTTCCCCGAGAGATTTTATGGTTAGTCCTTGCACACTATTGGACTAATTTTGGTTATTCTGCACTCATCCAAGATATCTAGTTTTAACATATTTTTCGACTGATAAGTGTTAGTCTCGCACCTATATCTAAAAGATTGTTAATCTTTGCATTTAATATTTATTTGTATGGCATTGCATTTTTGTGCAGCAGTACTATGACGTCATAAACATTTATTGTTTTCCGAAGACTTTGGCGTGTCAAACCAAAAGACTTTGGCGTGTCGGACTTTGGAGTCCCATCGCACTTTGGAGTCCTACATATATAACAAGAGGCCCATGGGCCACATCGCTTACCTGAGCACTGTGGCTAGGAAAAAGTAGAAATTGGTTTATTATTGAAAAGTTTAAATCCAAAAGTAGTCCCATGACCAATCATGGTTTTGCTATTCTTGAGAAGATGATTTTTAAAGAATTTTCCTATGTCTAGGTAAAACTTTGGTTGGCCATTGTGGCCCCGCCCTACCCCCAGGGGCCATGATTGGAACAAACTTAAATCTACACTACCTGACAATGCTTCCATATACCATATAAATGTGATCAATTATGGCTTTGCTATTCTTGAGAAGAAGATATTCAAAGAATTTTCCTATATATTTCTATGTTAAACTTTGGTCAGTCTTTTTTGAATAAAACATGCTTTTAATATGATCAATTATGGCTTTGCTATTCTTGAGAAGAAGATATTTAAAGAATTTTCCTATATATTTTAATGTATAAATTTGGTCGGCCATTGTAGCCCCGACCTACCCCTAGGGGTCATGATTTGAACAAACTTGAATCTACACTACCTGACAATGCTTCCATATAAATATGATCAATTATGGCTTTGCTATTCTTGAGAAGATTTTTAAAGAATTTTCCTATATATTTCTATGTAAAACTTTGGTCGGCCATTGTGGCCCGCCCTACCCCCGGGGGTCATGATTTGAACAAACTTGAATCTACACTACCTGAGGATGTTTCCCCATAAGTTTCATCTTTCCTGGCACAGTGGTTCTTTAGAAGAAGATTTTTAAAACATACCACCAAATTTTCATTAATTCCCAATTATCTCTCCTTGAATGAGGGCGTGGCCCTTCATTTTGAATCCCCTTCACCCAAGGATACTTTGTGGCAAATTGGCCCAGCGGTTCTTGAGAAGAAGTCGAAAATCTGAAAAGTTTACAGACGGACAGACAGACAGACGGACGACGGACAAAATGTGATCAGAAAAGCTCACTTGAGCCTTCGGCTCAGGTGAGCTAAAAACTCCGTATGCAGGTGATGAAGGTATATTGCTGCATAAGTAAGGGAAGTTGACGATAGAAAAGTTCGTCATCACGTTTATCATAGAGCTTGGTTGTTAGATTATCATTAAAGTCTTTTTCAAGTAAAACATTTAATAACAAAAAAAAAAAAAAAAAAAAAAAAAATAGGGCAAATTCAGATTAGACAAAATTAAGGATATTATATCTTAATTTAATTGAATTTGGTTGTATCATATTATAGATGCTGTATAGTAACATTGATTGTGCATTTTTTATCTTTTGAATTGCAAGTAGGCGACAAAAAGCTCATGACATCGACATGATTTTGCTTCGAAAACAAAACGGTAAAATTTCAGGACATACACAAAGACTACCTTACCTACTGATATTTTTCAAGGAATTCTTAATTCAAGATTATAGTATCATCGGATGTTAATATAGACAAAACAAAAAGTAAGCATACTTTACAGAGGGATTTTGAAAAAAAAAATCAAATGATGAAAATTATTGGATGATTCAAAGGAAAAAGATATATATAACAAAAGACTGAACATAGTATATTCCATATGTTTCTTTTATCCAAAATTGTTTTTTTTAAAAGTATACAACACGGATTATATATAGACATTAAATTACAGCATACAGTTCCTTCAAGAATTGAAACTCTTAACCTGCATGGAAACAGACAAAAAAGTTTAAACTAGGTTGCATATGTTCTTTTAAAATATCAATGTCTTTGATACCATCTTATCCTGATATTGTCTTCTTGAATCAATGAAAATTTCATTAATTGCTTTATGCAATGAATATGAGAATTCCTACTTTCAGTATTTGTTTAATAATGTTAATATTTATTAAGAATTTTATTTTAAATGTTGAATTTATGGTGTTATGCATATTTTTCATAGGATGTATGAAAACTAAAAGTGGATCCGAGCGGGCTTAGTCATAAGAATCAAACTTTAAAAAATATCAATTATAACACAACAGTCATAATGTGTGTAGCAAACAAGTCCCTTTTACAATCTCTACAGTGTTTCACGTAAGGTATCAGGGCATTTTAAACATATGGTGAAATAGTAATTGAAGAAAATAAATATGATAGTAATCAAGTGCCTATTAAAACGAATACAACGCAAGACACTTCTACAACTGAAGTGCCTATAAATACAAATTAAACTTTTCAACACAATTACCACAGATTTTCAAACATAGCAATGTTCAAAACAGTTGCTGATTTAACTGGTGCAACTTAGTCAGAATTGAGTGCTTATACAACTACCACGATCCAGTCTTCAATAAATACAAAAATTAATCTTTCTTCAGCTTTAAAAGCTTTAAGTGTTGCGACATTTGAGTCTCAGGGAAAGGTTTTTCGAAGTTGCAAGAACTATGAATTATGCATTAAAATATGTTCAAAACAAAATTGTTTAAGTCTTTCGAGTCAAAATCAACAATTGCAGGGATAATCAAGATCTAATCTACAACATTAAATTAAAGAATGTATTTACGAAGTTTGAATCTGTTTTTCAAAGGCGGTGTTAATCACAATTTCTAAAATCTCCACACGATAATGACGATTTAGATTTAGTATTTTAGTCGTTTGTTTAAAAAAAAAAACCTAGAATATTCATACACAAATATATTAAGACTATGAATATTATATATATTAAGAGAAAATTATTAAATCAAAAGATGTTTGTTCATATGTATAATGATCATGACAGTGTGCAAGATATATGTGTAATAGTACTAAAATAGTATTACTCAAAATAAGTGTGTAAATAACTTTTTAAAAATGTGCATTATTTTTTCTTAATTTGTGATCAAGAACACATTGCAACAAAAATTGTTTTATTCAGATTACCTATCTAAAAGAGATACACAAAGTAAAAATTGACAGTACTTGGGTTTTCTTCCATTAGAAACCTTATATAATGGGTTGTTTAAAAAATCAAACAAGAAACTATTGGGACAAACAAGTATAATACATGTACACATAAAAATATCAATGTTAATTAAATAAAATAAATATCTACAATAATTCTGATTATGCACTTCCTTCCATAATGCTTTGCATAACTACACTATATACATGAACATATGAAATTGATAACAAGAATATAAACATTATTTATGCTCAACATTTATCCACAATTCCTGGATATTTTGTGTTTTGTTTTTTTTCAAATGGATACTCATACTCCCTATTAGAGATTTATCCACATAGGATATTCAAGAGAGATGCAAAGGTTCATTTATATATAACAATACATTATGCTCTTGTTGAATGCTTCTTCGAAAGAAATTGACCATAATTACTAGTAGAGTTTTACATTCAAAAGACAAAGGTGAAGTTAAACAGTACTGATAAATGAACAAAATAAACTGGTCTATG